CTTAATGTTATGTTGGCCGAGGGATTGATTGTGAGTGAAGCCTTTCAATTGACAACTATTGTTGAAAAGTTGTCTCCTTTGTAGAACGATTTTAAGGGTTATCTCATGCATAAAAGAAAAATAATGAAACTCAAGGATTTGATAGTTCGTCTTCGGATAGAAGAAGATAAACGAGGAGTTTGTTCCTCGACACAGGGTTGTGTTTGTGTCTGTTCCGGAATCTCCTGGATCTGTTTTCCCTCGCGTCGAGACATCTCCGTTAGTTCCTTCTCTTTGGATTAGGGTTTTGGCTCGTTCCCTCCTGGGTCAACACTTGCAGCTTCGCGCCGGTTGGAGTTACAGGTGTTTCTCCGCCCAACGTCAGTCCTGGAGGTGGAAGTCCTCCAGATGGTGGTATCCCCATCATCTGCGTCACGGGGTGCTTGGTGGTGGAGAGCGGTGGTGGCCTCTTGTCCATCCATGCCTCTCTGAACTCCTCGTTCAAATTCCTCTGCAATCCCTCCTTTTCCGCCATCGATAAACAGATCGGAGCTGGGTGTGAAGCTCTTACTTCCTTCAAGAACTCCCCACAGACGGCGCCAATATGATGGGTCTACTTCCAGATCTGGAGTAAACCGGTTGTTGTGAGCTCAGATCTGCTTGAACCGCTTCCCAACCGTTGCTAGACCGCGAGATTCCTGCAAAAACTCAACGCCGGAGGTGTTTCCGACGTAGAGCCTCCGACGCTCAAGTCAGTATAAGAATAGTGAAGATGCTGCGCAGCAGCTATGGGGGAGAGTGGGAAATGAATGAGAGTTAGGGTTTGGGGTTACCTCATCTCCTTCATATAGGAGTGAATACTTACTTGAAGTGCCCAAAATGCCCCAGTCGGTGGACCTAGAAGGTCCAAAATGCCCTGGTCGATTCGTCTCCCCTTGTTGCCGAGTCATCACAAGATTCCTTCTTATCCTATGTGGTGTATAGAACTTCAAGTATATTGTAAGTGTGATGAGTCGTTCTCACACCTTTGTTATTCGAGGTATGCGAAGTCGACTTCAAGAGCTAGGAAGTCGACTCGTGGATATGTGCGGGTTCGGAGGCTACGCTCAACTAATTCTTTAAAACGAAGTCGTCTTCAGAGAGTCGCCTTCAGAGAGTCGTCTTAGCTCAGTCGACTGCTGAGAGTCAACTTAGGATATCGGGATGTTCGGGCGTCTCTTGCTGTTCCACTTTCATTGATATCAATTAATGAAAGTCGATAGTCTAAGGTCGACTCGTGAGAGTCGACTAGACCAATTTCTGCCTCTTCTTGATCATTCAGTGGAATCGACCTTAGGGAAGTCGATTTGAGCATGTCGACGGAGTCATGTCGACCTGCGAGTAGTTCGAGTGGTTCGCTGGTTGAGAAAGGAGCTTCTGGACCGGGTTATCCTTATGTGGCTATATCACCTTCTTTTTGCCAAACTTTTGATCTATCAGAGGTTTTTCATTTTGAAAACGATTTTGAGGTCTTCCCCTCACAAAATTAACCTCGATGACATTCTCATTACCCCTGTTGGTTGTCAAACCCAGCTCTTTGCTTTTCAAACCATTTACAACAGTTTCAAGATTCTCATTATCTCTACCATACTTAATAGCATATTTCACATCACTGTAAGAATTAGGTATAGCATTCAAGAGCACAATAGGGGTGTAATCATCAATATGCTTATCACAGTTTGCTTAATATCCTGAACAAGTTTGGTAAACACATCCAAATTATCATCCATGTCTTTGGACAAATCAAGTTTGAAACGGAAAATTTTTCAAGCAAGAACAACTTATTTGGCAAAGAGGTTTCAGTATATAGTTCCTCTAATTTTTCCCAAAGTTCTTTAGCAGAGTCCAATTTACCAACTTTTCTTAACACAGAGTCAGATAGGTTCAGAATAATCGAAGAATAAGCAAACTCATCAATTTTGGCCTTTTTCTCGGCCGACACATTCGCAGAATGAGAAAGGTAAATTGCTTTAAACACCTTTTGTTGAACAAGAATACCTTTCATTTTCTGCTGCCAAATACCAAAATCAGATTTTCCATCAAACGGGACTAAACTAAAAGCTAAAACGGATCCCATTTTAAAACACACACAAGTTTTTGCACAGAAAATCACACAAAGCAAAATACACAAGAAAATACGCCAAATAGCCAGAGTATCACACAGATACAAAACGCACAGCAACAATCCCACACGGCAAGTTACACAGAGCGAATAAAGCACAACGGAATATCACTACAAAAGCGATAAATCACAAAAGCATGCAGCTGGAACCTCCAGCAAAGCGGTAAATCACACAAATCACAAAGATCCTAGATTCTACCAGCACGTTCCCAACAAGCAATCCCCAGCCAGGGGCTACAACTACGAAAGCAGTAAAAGGTGGGTTCAAGCTAATTTACCTGAGCGAGCCCTACGAAAAGGAACTCGACTTACCAGTGGCGACGAACAGACGACCTGGCAAGAGCCAGGATCTGATACCACTGTTGGGTGGTCGTCTGGCTCGACTCACCGAGCCCGGGCTGGCCCCGAACAATCTCGAAAAGTCGCTGGTTCTTCCCGGCGCACCCGGTAGGCCCCGGAAGCACTCGGTAGGCTTCCGATAGCAACCAACAGGTCCTGAACGGCCCCGATAGGACCCAGACAACTCCCAGTTGGCCCCGAACAACAACCTTTCGATCCGGAACTCGTCCCAATTTGTCCGTTTCAAGGTGAAATCGGAAATGCACAATAAACAATCAAAATTCAGCAATCTAAGAGCATAAACAAATTGAACATGTTGAAAATAAATAAGAAAAATAATACGAACGAGTACACCCTTTCCGTGTTCTTGTACGAGGGCCCGAATGTCACCGATTCCACGATGATGGGTTGGAAATGGAGCAGGCTTAATCCCCTATCGTCAAGCCCACAAAATGAGTCACCGAATAGCTAACAAAGAACCGAACAATTGGACCCTCGACCTCAATGACTTCGGCACTGTAAACCCAGGGTAACTCCACTGACCGTCGCAACAAGCTCGGCCCGAAAACAGCCCGCACACCAAAATCCCCTCTCACAAAGAGACTCGGCTGACACAAAGAAGACTCTCACACACTCACTCACATAAGAGAGATCGAATCACAAGACACAAGGCCTAGGAAACAAGAAGAGAGTGGGCACTTGTCAGTAAACAAATAATGGGATGGAATTTCTTAAAAAGCTGCGTAGTAGTAGCTATTCAATTTTTTAAAGTGGCTGAAACTTCTCGAGTCTGTTCAAGGGAGATAGCTACGTGGGAGTCTTAAACTCTTAGGGCTATTCTAATGGCTGCTAATGTTAGGATAATTACTTAGGGTAACAGGTAATCAAAAGAAATGAAAATGATCGATCCAAGATTACTTGGATCATGTGGGATGCCTTAAACTGGGCTCAGGCCAAAGAAATTGGGCCAGAGAATTGTTAGGATATTGGACCATCAATAAAATATCATTTGGGCCACAACACCAACAGTCGTGACCATGTTTTTGTTGATGGGCACGACACTTGTTGCGGCCTGCAAAGGGTTGCCGCCCTAGCGTCCATAAGCTGATGTTTGGCTTTTGTTTTCGTTCAAGCACGTCCCAAAAGTGTTTTTTGGCACTTAAACCTCACGTACGTGTTTTTCTACATTTATAATACCAACATATATGAATCATTCAAATACTTACAGTTAAAATTGCTATTGCATTATTTTTCAAAGTCGTGTAACATATTGTGTTCTGAGATATTTCATTGAGTCTTTAGAGTTTCAAACATTAATATTGTTCATCCGAAGACATGTATATTTGAAGTACTGCTTATATACAAGTCAAAATTATTAATATCTTAGAGACAATTATCGTTAACTGTGTGTACTTTACATAATGAATTCTTCATAAACAAAATGTAATTATTACGTGGGTTGATTTTAATTTTATCCTATGTTTTTCTCATTTTTTAAGTCTTTTTCTCCGTACTCACATTCGAACCAAATACAACAAAAGTTTGTTTGTTATATTCTGTAACAAATGAATAAGTTAATCATGGGGCAAAATGATATAGGGCAACTATTGCGGGCAGCCCGGTTTAATAATGGATTTGATGGTATCTGCGAATTTGTAGTGACAAATCTACACCGCAACTATAGCGGGCAGCCCGCCAGCAACTTGTTTGTGCATGAATTGTGAGAGTGACTTGTGTCCACACTTCACATTCATTTAATTTACATCTGCAAATGGCGCCACAACACATAACATTGAACCTATTGCAATAAATCAATGCTGTGCACCTCAAATCTGTTGTCTTTTTTAGTTCTTGGCTTTTATGCAAACCGACCATTCGTACTTGTATCTTTGATCCAACGGCTGAAAATGTTACATGTAACTGAACAAATAACTTATACCCCTACCTTCAAATAAATGTCGTTGTAAGTTTAAATTTTCAGAATTAATGAATTTAACGAATCAAATAATTAGTATGATGGTTTGTAAAAGAGAAATAATAATTTAAAATTTTCGTTAAATTACAAATGAAAAACAAAAAAGTTATTTATTTTTTGAGTATATGATTCAGTTTTGCCTCACCCTATGTAAGGTGTAATCAAAGATTCAAGCATTTGTGAGCCGCATCTCAATTGGACGGTAAACCTTTGACATCGGATTTCACGAAGCAATTATTTAAGGTGAGTAAAAGAGGCTACATTTAAGGGGGGGACAGCTTAGTTCTCCCACCTTCCCCAAAATTTATGTTCCACTCTTGATCACTTTTTTCATCTTGCCCTTTCTTTCTCTTTCTCTCTTTCATCTGTGTCTCTCATGTAATTAAGAACAAGATACATTTTTTTTGGTTTTCCTCTCTCTGCCTGTAATCTAACTTGCAAATAACACATCTTTTATTTAAATAAAAGTGATAAAATATCTATATTATTATCATTGATTTTANAGAAACAAACAAACAAACAAACAAACAAGTTTAAAGCAAAATCATGAGCCTAATAAATTGCCTGAGATTGACAAAAGATGGAGAAGAAAATGTGGGGTTGGATGAGGTGCAGGATAAGAGAAGGCCCAATTTCAGAATGTATTTGAGGAAAGTGGAAAGAAGTTGGTCCGGTAACCTGAGGCCCGATTTCAAGCCAAACTTTAGGAAAATGAGAAGCCGGTCCAATCTGGGGATCCCCGCCAGGTTCAAGAAGAAAAGCCCACCAAATTCTTTGCATCGGATCCATAACATAGGCCCAGGATCAGGCCCAGAATCGGGATACGATTCAGCACCAGTCACGCCAAGGCTGGTCAGGTGTAGCGGCATGAGAAGGGATTGGAGCTTTGAAAATCTAAGGCGAGCACTCGAAGGCTGAGATTGTACATTATTTATTTTTATTGTGTCATAAATTTATAGCCAAATTAGGGTTATGCTAGCTTCTAGAATTGGATTTCTTGTAAAATTCTGAGGCCCTGCACCCTAAGTAAATAAATAATGGTTATTCGAAAAATATATGTTGATTATATAAGTATATGTGTTGTTCTTCGTTCAATGCTTTCTTGTTTGTGAATGTATATTATGTGGTGTGATAACATTGAGAGATGATTAGGGGTGTGCCAAAGTCCATTTGGATTGCTTGAAATTCATCAAGACTCCAATTTATGATATTCATTATTTTATTTTAATATTAATCTATATTTTTTAATGAACGTATGTATCATATGCACATCTTCTTATCGATTTCTTTTTTTTTTTGGTGAATATATAAATCATATTACACATTTACATATTCATTAATTTTGATCTAATGGGTATATACTAAGGATGAACTCGAGACTTAGAGAATACAGAATCATTTTGAAAATTGAAATAACTTTGAATAAAAAATAATTGCTAATTGTTTAACTTTCTTCAAATCAAACTAAACTTTGTACTTTTATGAAAGTTTCACAAATATTCACAAATATTAGTATCTATAACCAACCAAACCATCTCATAATGTATCAAGTGGAATAACTGATATTATATACCACCATAACCTAAAATAAATTCAATTATTTTACTTTATATCAACTTTAGTATAATAGCAATTAACATTCACATAAAAGCATAATTATCCTATATTTTTGTTATTTTCCTACTATTATTTATCTTATATATCAATGATATGAAAAATTACAACAGTTATATTCTAAATAAAATATAAGGTGTTCCCTATGAAGTCATGTAATAGCCGAGGATATCTATCTTCTTTGTAATATTTTTGAAGCATGTAATTTTTGTAGTAAACAGTGTATAGATGTAGATAATAGTGGTAGGCTAGCCTCTTTTGCTATTAGTGGACAAGTCTCAATGATATGGCTTGATCCGGTTCCTGCTTGGATCAAGTGTTGATCCTAGTAGCTTATTGACGTCAGTTGACGTCTTGGTTGTAATCGTTCTATGAGTTTTTATAAAATGTTACCGTTGGAAAAAAAAAAGTATAAAAATATAACCAAAGTTCTGATTCATTTTTATTCTCTCTTATTTTTAAACAAATAAAGTTTGTATCTGACGCTTCATTTTTTTTTTTTCAAAACGATAGGATTCTCATAACTTCAAGAAATTTTACAACGCAAAACACACCGGGTGTGAATGAGATGACCGATCAAGTCGGCCTACAAACGGGACGAACTCATGGCAACACGCCGGATACCAAACAAAGGCACACATGCCTTGCGCAAAAACATACTAAAAACATAAAAATACAAACCTGCTAGATACTAAAACATCTTGAAAGTGTTTTCCTACATTTATAAATACCCACACATGAAACATTCACAACTTGAGAAAAGTTAAGAACTCTTGCATTACAATTTCAAAGTTCATAAAGCATATTGCGTTCTTTGACATTTTCGTTGAATCTTGAGAGTTCCAAACAATAGTATTGTTCGCTGAAGGCTTGTATATCTAAAGTATCGCTATATACAAGACAAAAGTCGTTGTATTTTGGAGGCGTTCGTCGTTAACCGTGTGTATTTTACTGAGCAATTTTGTCTTAAGGACAACGTAACTATTCTGTGTTTTGACTTTGATTTTGTTTCGTTTTCTTCATTCTCCTTAAACCATCTTCTTGATATTCACAAATCACACAAACTACATATTTCAACTATATTGATTTTAGTATCATTATTTTTCAGTTACATATTTATTACACTGTATGAGAGAATGAAATTTTGAAATAGTTTCGAAAATGTTTATGTGGAAAAACACTTAGGGAGCTTGTATACAAATATATCTGCTCAAAATGAGTTTTTTAGGTTAACTGTAGTTAATTTGAAAAGATGTGATGTGGTTATTTGTTAGTGTGATTCTGAACTTATATTAAAATAATATTTAAAATAAGATAATTAAAGTTCATTTCGTGTAAAAGTATAAGAGAGATGATGTGAAGTGATAATTAGTTAAAATTATGTGAGGATGAATATTGAATTAAAATTGATATATGTGTAAAAATAATTGATTGATATTATTTAATTATATTGATAATATTGAAGATAATAGAGTTGATTTAGATTTTGAATATGAATAGTGTTAATTGAGATTATTTGTATACAAACACACCCTTACTATTAGTTGAACATGCATGAAATACATGGAGGGCCAAAACATTGAAAGATTTCATGGGGTTTTAGCCCTCAAATCCACACACCGGTTTGTGTATGTGAGTTTGTTATCTGATTGTCAAAAGGGGACGATTGACTACAAAATTTATCCGATTTAAATTGGTCAAATAATTTTTTTACACTTTTTTAATTCAACTTAACTTTATACAATTTATTTTTCTTCAATATTGTCTTTATAACTAAATAATATCAATCAAATATGTTCACACATCACACTAGTTTTAATTCATTATTCATTCACTCAATAATTTTTAAGTACCCATCATTTCCACAAACCTGTGAAAAGGCTTTATCAGAAATCAAATAGGCAACCTCTAAACTTTCCCAAACACAAGATTCATCATTCCCATATGCATATGGATTTCCTCAATCCTCCCTCACAAGATAGTTTCATGATAGTTTGCCTATTTTTCTTTAACGAACACCTAAACTCGTTAACTTCACGGCACTACCCGAAGGGCTAGACAACAACTGTCAACTCCAAAACAAAATGAAACTATGGATTCAAATGGATTAATTGTTGGGAAATCATAAAAGATAGTCCAAAGTTTGAACCTACTGAGACTCGAACATCTGAATCTAAGAAGGATTAGACATATGAATCTGGACAAGATGTTAATTCAAAAGGCACAAAAACGAAAAATACACTGAGTTTTCCATTTTAAAGCCCTTCATAAGGTACCATCACTATGGACCATCACTTATGGATTCATAAGGTCGTGAAGAAAATGTTCCATTTTAAAGCCCTTCTGAAGGTATAAACAGCTAATCGAAGAGGACATTTCTGATGTCACGAACACTCTACAATCTCTTATTGCAATGCGTCGACTTCTAAAGGCCTTGGCATAGATTAGATTGTCTAATGGATTGTTGTATATTTTTATTTTGAACACTTGCTTCTCTTGAAATTTATAAGCTTTTGAACTATTAAATTATGTTAAATGACTCGATTACTTTAATTTAATCTACTACCCACAATAACTCTTAAATCACATATAGTCATTCCAACATGTACACATATTTTATGTTCCCATACTACTGATCCATATCAATTCCACCTTGGACCACCATTCAACTACACCTACTCTATAATCTTCACCTAACATTCAACAACCACTTTCAATGTTCTCATCCATCCACACCATCAACTTTCTCATCTATTCTAAATATTACAACTTTTCATCCCTAAATTCTCAAACAACCCATATTCCCAAATCTTTTGTAAATACCTTTTTCTTTCTCACTCTTCTAAAATGGCTAGTGGATCACAATGATAGAGCTCATCATCATGCTCCACCGAACAAATACATGAACGATTCAGACTTGTATTAATAAACACTGTAAATACAGCTCAAAATAGCCGGATCAATGAGCTAATTTAGTTGAATCTAGGGGAAGTCCACACAGCGGTAGCCTAGAACCGAACACAAACACACACAAACTAAACAAAAGCTACCTAGCTCCCACGCGGTAAAATCAAACACTCCAATAATGGAATACAAACACAAAGCTAAACACAAGAAAACACAAAACAAATACAAAAACAACTAGTAAATAGATTGTCCTGGAAAACCATTTGGTGCAAGCAGCATAACTAACTGGGGGTAGACGCTCATGCAAAGATGCACGACTGTCATACACCAATTTCCCGGTACTCTCCCACTTACCAATGTGATGATAGCCATGTGTTTCTTAACATGTGACAAACAAAAGCTCGGTTGAGTTCTATTGTGCTAGTGTAGAAGTATTAAGATCAAAATACTGATCAAGACCTCCAAAGATCACTGGCCTTACATGAAGTTAAACAACTTTCATGAATGTAGGAGTCCACAATGCCCACAATAGCAATTTTTCAGTGTGAAGTGACGAGGTTCATACAACTGAAGCGAACAAGGTATATCACAGTAAATCACAAGATCGGGTGAGGACATTAAGCAGCGGAAATAAGTGAAGATTATAGGAACATAACACCCTGTAAACAAGTTATATATATATATATATTTTTTCGGTCTCAAATCGTCATACTAATTTAATCACTCAACTTGCAATACTTTTAACATCTAACAAGTGATAACTGTGTGTTGTCTGAATCTTTTAACTTCCTAGAAATTGAATTGAATATTAATTAAGTTCAATAAAAATTAGTTGTATGTAGCTATTCTTTTCACAAAAGCAGTATTATAAAATAAATAACTATATATATAATAAAAGTAGATGGAAATACTAATCGCCATATGCGAGTGCAGAACAAAAACAGTTGAGAACATGTGGAACCCAGTTTAGATAGGAATTCTGCTCAGAGCTCATATGCTAATTATAGTAAAAAAAAAAGTAGTGAGAAAATAGTAAGGTTTTATTGGAAAGAGTATTGATTCATAACTGCGTGTGGGTCTTACACTCATAAATTATAAACATCTCAACTCACATATACTCAAAATAAGCAAAACATATGGAATGGAACTGTTCAATCACATGGAACTGTGTGAATCCTTGCCGTAACATACTGGTTGGATGGAACTCTTTTACTTATTTTTGTTAATTTAGCAAAGAGAGAACTAAATAACAAATTCAAATACTTTTGCTAATAAAAGATTCAATCTTTTGACACTTGAAATTTTAACAAAGATGCTCTTAGCAATAACATAAAGTTGCACTTAAAAAAAACAAATAAAAAATGATTTGACAGAAAGAGAATTCTTTTCCCCCTTATCATTATCAAACATGAAGAATGATTCAAGTTCACTGGACAAAGTCACAAAACCATCAAAAGTGATCAAATACCAGAAATAAAAAAGAGGATTATGATAAGTACAGTTGATTTGAAATGATGGGGTGTTTCAGTAATTTTAAATCGGAAATCACTGGTGGTCAATATTCAATCGCACCTGTTTAATACTTCTCGTCGTGCTCGCCGGCCTCAGCGGCGGAGGCAAGCTTCTGCAGGTTCAGCCTCACGACTGTGTCGGCGAAGAGGCGCGTGTCCTCCTCCGTGTTCCCCTCCGGCACGTCCACCACGTAAGACTCCAGGACGGCCGTCCACTCCCCGCCACGCGCCTCGTGCACGCTTGTCACAGACCGGTAGTTCCTGAGCCTGTGGTCCCCGCCGATGCAGGTGAACCCCGTCACGCGCCGCTCGTCGTCGAGCAAGTCGAGCCTCTCGGTGCTGGTGGCCGCCGGCAGTCCGGAGACAACGTCGACGACCCTGACGTCGCCGGCGGCGAGAGCGAAGCCCTCGGCCGTGCGGCAGCTCTTGATGAAGTGCTTGTAGGTCTGGGGGCGGTCGAATCGGCGGAGAATGGACCAGACGTTGCGTGGCGGCGCGTGGACGAGCTGCGCGAGCAGGGAGGAGCACTGCCCGGGGCCGACCGCGTAGGTGTGGAATTCGACCACCGCCGGTTTCAGATCTTGGAATTCCTCCGGGGTCAGTCCCGGCGGGACCCTTAGATGGTGGGCTGACGGTGTTGATATTGAAGAGGAGTCGGGCTGTTCTTCAGTTGGGGCAGCGGCTTTTGGAGCTTCCTCCATTGGAGTGTGTGTGTGTGAGAGAGAGAGAGAGAGGCTGCTGCTGTCAATTTGGGCAAGAAAACCAAAAGACAAATGATTTGTGACAGTTGTACCCTTTTGTTAACCCTTTACTCCTCTTATATAATTCATGATATTTAAGAGTACCGTTGCACAAAGTTCGGTTAACTGGCAGAACCGACCGAAATCGAAATTTCAGTTTGGACCGAAACTGAAATCGAATATTTGGTTCGATTTTCGGTTTGCGTTATCTTAAAATTTTGATTTTTAGTTCGGTTTGGATAATTGTGATCGGTTAACCGAATCGAAAACCGATTTATACACATATATATACATGTTTTTTATTTATACATATAAGTTATAAAAGCATTAATTTGTTTTAATGATTGATATTTTCAAGCTTCAATAACCCGTAAAATGGTTCAAGCATTAATTCGCACTCAAGATTGACTTCGTCATAGTTCAAATCACGGTTCGGGTTCGGGTTCGAGAACTTACTCTGAGAAGAATTTATAATTTATTGACAAGTTTAAACAAGATGATATTCTTTTTTTTTGGATAAAACATCAAATTTTTTGCTCCGTTAAAATTTAGAATTTATTGAGAAGATTAATTATTTATTGCGATTAACCGAAAACCGAACTGAATCGACCGCTGAATTTTCGGTTAAAAACCGAATCGAACTGTAAATTTCGATTTGGTTTTCGGTTATGATAATGGACAAACCAAATTTTCGGTTAATCAAGAATTCGGTCAATTCTGTTCGGTTTCGACCGAATGAGCAACCCTATTTAAGAGCACCCGCATTGGGGCGTTAAAACACCATGTTTAAACGACACGCTGGCGTTAACGGGATTGTGGGCGTTCATTATTTGAGTTGGGCCCACGTATCCGTTCAATTGATTGAACGCGTTCAATCTGCTTTTTTTTTTTTTTTAAGAAANTTTTTTTTTTTTTAAGAAAATCATATTATATTCTATGCATGCATAGCATGCCCAGAGCAGGTATACCCTAGAACTCGCTTTGAGAAGTATGCACAAGAAAGATGTACGGTCTAATGAGGCTACTATGAAATATTTACTTACGAGTGGGACAAGCTCTTCTATTTTGGTTCATGCTTTCACTTGGCTATAGATCGAGCTTCAAGAGCTTTGACTTCTGAACAACTATGAAAGACCAGTTGATGTTTGTCGTTGTAATCATTCTCGAATACCCTTGCTAGGGGTTTTGAGTTCCAACTAGCAGCAATCTCTCTAAGAAAGGAGATCAACGGATGGGACTGTCGCTGAAACAAGCCTTACCGATAGACGTTGAGGTCGTCCTAATCATAGCTCCATACACTCAGTTCGCAAGGATTTGCTCTCCCCGTCCAATGAGAATGGATAAGTGGCTTGTGGTGTTTGCCTGAGGGGATGGCTCATCTTCTGTTTTTCCTCAAACAAAGGCAAGGAAGAAGCTATAGATTGAGACTGGCTTACTTGCTCTGTAACTTATGTGTGTGTGTGCGCGCGTGTGTGCGATTGTGATCTATTCAATAAATGGTATTTTTTAATTTAAATGTGGTAATCGTAATATTTTGCATTAGTTAACTGTGATAATATTTTTTAATTATTTTATCATACAATAATTACTATTAATATTAATTAATTATAAATTCGCACTAAAGATTTATAGAAGTTACACACTTATAAAAACTTGATAAAAAGTATTCAAGCTATTTATATAAAAATTAATATTTTCTTTTTATATTTATTTCATTAAGTATTTTTCTTAAATATGTATTTGTGGTTTTAATGGCATAGAAAACCACTTAAAGTTGCGTAATCAATTACTATAATAATAATTTAATATCTTTTAATAATAATTGGTCACGATCTAATTTTATAATAGTTACATTATTTATTACATTTTATATAATCTATATAGCAATTCACATATAAGTGAGTAGTTTATAATTATATTGTTAGTGAAAGGTCAAATTTATAAAATGTGAATTATAATGTTTTTTTTTTCTTTTTTCTTGGGTACTGGAAGGGAAACGACGCTTTCGCTATCGTTAGATCACGATCTGACGAGGGTGGGACACGTCAGCCTCATCGTGCTGTAACCACAAACCCGGTCCCCTAGAAGGGCTATCAAACTGGTGTAAACCACCCGGCCCCTTAGCCGCTAACAAGGCCATAAAATCAGTGACGGAGTTAGATCACGATAACCATGAACGAGCACAGTCTTCCATGAACGACTCAACAAATCCTGAATGGCCGTATGAGCCCCCCATGCGGCCCATTGGTTTCCTCAAACCATCTCTATAATGCTTTTGTTGTCGACCTATTTGTATATGTGCATGTACACATGATAAAATACAAATGCTTCTAATTTTATATTTATAATTCATAATTAATATTATTATATTTTATGATATTATATTAATTAGCATTTGATTAATTATTTTTAATTATATTTTATATCACATATAAGTTAAAAAATTCATCGGCTCCATAATACGCTGATTTACGGAAAGACTAATAAATCAGGCGGAAGTCGAAGTTTTCTCCGGTGACGTACTCGGACAATCGGATCAGAGCTTTTCCCAATTCCTTTCCGTTGAATAGCCTACAAACTGATTGGCGGCGGCGGCGGCGGCGTGTTTGGTGCCTGATGGCCGATCTAATCGAAGAGGATGAAGGGATTGTCAATATCACCCTGCAATCCGTCGGCCCTTCTCCTCGCACTCGCCTCAGGGTCCCCTCTAAACTCAAGGTACCGCAATTACGCACTCTCACTATATTCCCGAGATCCATGTCAAGGTCTCGTGCTGATCAAATTTCTGAATATTTGGACTTAATTTATTTTTCTCCGTACCCTCATTTTTCAGTTCTTTTATTTTGAATTCATTATTGGTTGCGAGGATCTACATTAATCGCATGTTTGAATAAAATACATTTTTTTTTCTTTTCTGTTGGGTGTTAGTGCATAACACTTCTTGGAAGTTTTCTAGCCAAGGCTTGCAAATTGCATCTAAATACTGCCCTTTACCAGAATCCGTGATATAGAACCGGGGGTTGAAGTTTTTGAAGTGGGAACTCGTGATTTTTATTAGTATCACTCTGAAAATTCAGACAATGTGCACTTTGTATCGCCAACAAAATTTTCTGTCTGTTAAGATGCCACGAGAATTAATTTTATATGATCGTTAGGTCCAGTTCTTGTTCATCACGACGTTATGAAGAATGATTATATCTTGTTTATTTACAGAAAGTGCGTGTATTAGACTATTAGTAATGTTTTCGCCCTGACAAATAGGTTAAAGAGTTGAGAACATTGATTGCCAAGATTAGTCACTTGCCTCTTGAGAATATGACGCTTGTTTTTCGAGGCAATGTGTTACATGACAGTGCAAATGGTGACGATTTATATGTCCAACTCCATGAAGGAGGTGAGATTCGTATTCCTGTCATAGTTAGAACAAACTAGATTATTTTTACTCCCCCTGATGATTGTATATATGAGACGTCTTCATTTCTTTCATTTTCCTTTTTTTTTTTTATAAGGTTATGCGAACTTCTGGGAAATATATATTGTCACACTGTGCTTCTAACATACAAAGCTAAATTTTTGCCAGCTTGGCAATATCTTATTTGATTTTGAAATATGTTTCCATTCTTTAAACTGATCCACAAATAATAAGAAGGCTGGTTGTTCATACTGCCTTTAAGATAGAGTATTTTTTAGTTCCAGCTTTACTGGAATGTGTTTAAGCTTTCCTAGTTCATCTTGATAATAGTGCTTCTTACTGCTTGTATTCTGCCAAATTACTGAATTCTCTCGTTAAAAGTAAAATACGTTTCTCCAGGAATAGGAGTTATGAAATAGTAGGTTGATGATCTTTTCTTTCCCATCTGTGACTGGGGAGGTCCTCATTCAAGAAAAAATAGAGGATATTTTTCAGTTTTGTCGATGTTAGTTTTGGTGGTTCCCTCTGAGTTATAACTATCATAGATGTGAAGCCAAATAAAATTTGGATGTATGCTGTGCTATTATTTCAGGTTTTAGATAGTTTAGTTTTGGCCTGAAGCCCCTGAACTGGACCCGCTCATGACTTGGTCCTTTTGGTTTCCCCCATAAGCCCCCTAATTTATTACAAGTTCTGCAATATTTTTTTATGCTTTCTTGCATTAGTCTTCTATCCCTGAAGAAGATTTGCCTTATTTCTTTTCTAGGAACTGTCATTGTTGCCATCAAACCAAAGTTGCCTGCTAAGTCCATTCAGGACAACTTTGACGACGACGATGGGGAAGATCTTGTTAGTTTCACAATAAACTTATAAATTACTCTCAGACTCCTTAATTTATGAAATTCTGAGTCTCATTTCCTGTCCTGTGTAGAAATTCAAACTTCCGGAATCAACCAATAGGTGGAAAAGAAGACTTTTTTTCGTCTTACGTGATAAACTTAGGCTCCCTGGTGAGAATATTTACCCAATTTCTGTTACAGATGTGATGTGAGCATCCTGATCAGTGTTAGATTTATCCATTTGTAGATATGCTTTTGATGGCAATTTTCTCCCTCAGAATAAAGACATGGGCAGCCATTGTATTATGGTTTATACTGGCACCTGTTGCCCATAGATTGGGTATTGGGCCTTTATATGTGAGTCTTCTTGTTCTACGGTTATTATTTGGTGTTTCTACTTTTTTACTTGTTGGAGATGTTTGAAACCAACAAACGTAATAATTAGCGTTAGCTGACAAATGAAGATACTTGAATGAGAAAAACATTTATAATGCTTCTTATCATTTGTAACTGGTGCATCCTTTTGACCTTTGATTTTATGGAGAAATTCTAACTTCTAAGACTGCTAAATGGGCACTATAAAATGTTTATGACTCGAATGACTTTTTTAATGTTTACAAAGACATTAAAAACATGCTACTTAAATTGTAGTAGATTGGGCTTCTAAAGCAAAATCCCGCCCGATCACTTTATAGTTTATTCTAACAGTATATAATATATTAACTAAAGTAACTGAAATAAAGATGCGAAATCTTTTCTTCCGTGTTTCTATTGTCTGTTTTCTTAATCTTGAGTAGTGCAGATATAATTATCCATATACAAAACCGGCAAAAAACAAGAGTACACCATTTTATGAATAATTTTGCTTTTCCTTGAGGGTCTCACATGTGTACTGCTACCATTACTATTCAGATAATCGGGACTGGCTTTTTTATCATTTTCTACAACCTTGGCCACCGGCAACCTGGTGATGCAAGGTATACCATTCAGGAACCAGAAAATATCTTATGTTGCTGTGTTCTTTTGCCTGGGGATTCATTCTGTTGCTTTTAAATTCCTCCTGCTGTTATAACTCTTTTCAGTTTAATGTTGTCATAGGGTTAAATTTATTTGTACTGGCTATATATGTGAGAGTATATGCAGTAACATATAATATGGTAGGATGCAACTGCACGGTGGCACTGTTGAATGATAATAGTCTTAAATGTAGTTCTTAATTCACAGCATTTAGGCTTGAGAGTATATTCTTAAGAAAATGGAACAGGAAACATGATTTTTAAAATCTATTATTCACTTTGTACATCTATACGAGCATCTTTTCTCCTTTTGTGATGAAAACTTATTCTTTTACTGGAACTAAAACATTAAGGAGCACGCTATCTTCTTTGATAAATGAACATTCCTTGATAAATGACCAATCCATTTGGCTTTCTCAATTCTTCCGAGAGTTAATTGACTTGTTACAGATGACTGATTATTGTGTTGTAATGTTTCCCGAACATCCCTATTAAAGGCTATCAATGATAGTCTCATGTCTCATGTGTTTAAGCATTGAATCCTAGAACTTAGCCAAACTATTTGAGTTATATGTGTTGATACACATGATGCAAAACCGAAAAGGACTTGGGGCCGTGTCACAAAAAACTTTAAACTTTCTTGAAAGTTAAATATGATACTTTATGGTGGATATTAGCATCTGCACAGCATGTGCTCATAAGGTTGGTCGATTGAAGATTGCTCAACTCTTTGTTCCCATCTTTTTGTGTTCAATTGGTACTTTGTCCGTTATGCTCCTCTTAACGTTATTTTGCCATTTGGCAGTGCATACTCCGTATTTAATGAAGATTTTCGAGAACTTCCTGGAACACTCAATGCGGATAGGCTGGACAGGGACATTCGACATGGGCAGTTTTGAGTTAGGGGTTTCACAGACTCATAGTACTTGCCAACTCCCTTTTGTGTTGGCATTTACATGAATTTTAAAGAAACAATTGTAAAACTAACTCTTACCTCCAGCTCACTATTGGAGTTTATCCAAGTAAATATATTGGCATTTATGATACCAAAGCTAAACCACCAGTTGGCTCGCCTTGTCTTTTGTTTTTTTTACTATAGTTATATTAAAACTCCAAAACTCAAAGAAAGTACACCCGAAAGTGTCAACTGATACTGCTAGAGCCAGAACAAAGTTTGGAGCAATGCCAGAACAAGTGTCAGTTGATACTGCTGAGAGCTATAAAAAATAGCTGATTTTTTCGACTGGTGAAACGCGATGGTCCGTCGTCCTCTGATCGTCAAGGTTCGCTGGTGTTAGGTTGTGCCGATCAATGTCGCAATTTTGACTATAGATCGTCGTCAATTGTCAATCGCAGGCCGCCGTTACAAATTGTAAGGGGTGAGATTAGGGAAATTAACTAGGTTAGTTTGAGATGTGTGTCTTTTCTAGGTGTCAATTAGGGGTGAGATTAGGGAAATTAACTAGGTTAGTTTGAGGTGTGTGTCTTTTCTATGTGTCAATGAGAAAGAGGCGAAACCCGAGAAAGAAAAATAAAGGAGAAAGAAAGAGAGTTCTCTAACGCGGTAGAAAGAAGAAAAAGAAAAATAAAGAATGAGAGGAAGGGAGGGAGGAGGAGAGAGAGTTGATATATTTAATATGTTTTTTAAAGAATGTTGGTATAATTAAAAATAAAAATTAGAGTTAATATATATGTAGATAAAAATAATTTTGATGATTAGTATAATTTTGTGTTCAGAATTTGAACCATGGTTTTGGCTTTCATGATATACCATCTCCCCATTTGTAAGGGATGATTAAGAATTCTAAAATATATTTCATTAGGACAAATGTCTAACAATCTTTCACATTTACAAATAGCACATCAATTTAAATTGATAGTGCGTTGTCTCTTTTCTTTTAGGATAATAATTATACGTATAAATATAAACAAATATCAACGCACAATTTTGCTATGTAACCATCGAATTACACGACTTATGAAGTCATCCGCACTTATTCACAAAAGTGTATTGACATGTGTCTTTCACACATATTCACAAAAGTGTATTGACACGTGTCTTAAAATAAATACACTTTACGACTTATGAAGTCATCCACACTTATTCACAAAAGTGTATTGACATGCGTCTTAAAATAAATACACTTTGGACATGTGTCAGTACATTAATAAATAATGGATGACTCCATAAGAAACATAAGTCATCCACACTTATTCACAAAAGTGTATTGACATGCGTCTTAAAATAAATACACTTTGGACATGTGTCAGTACATTAATAAATAATGGATGGCTCCATAAGAAAATCATCTTTATAGAATTCATGTATCAACGTAAATACAACAAAATTTCATTTATTTGTAAACTTCATAATTTTTATTTATTTACTGATAGTCTGATACCTAGTAATCTAATATATTTTACTATTTCATTTAATTTTATAATTTATATTTTTATTTATCTACTAATACATAGTAATCTAATTTTGATTAATATGTGCACCATAGTTTACAAACTTCATTATTTTCAATTACGATATCAAATAAAATATTAATTGTATCTCTCCATTTTAAATTTATAAAAATATATATATTGTGAACATTTTAAATTTTTTAACCAATAACTCACATAATTAACAGAACAGATAACCCCTTAGTTTAATCCTTTTAATTCCCCTACAGTTACTTCCCGGTATAATCCAAAATTTTGTTCTACACAAAACAAAAATAAAAGGAAAACATTAGCTTTNGAGGAGGAAATGAAAGGAAACTTGGCACAGTTGCTGGAATTCCCGCACGATCGATACAAACTCACGAGCCTCACCTTCATATAAACCATGTACCGTAAAACTTGAATCTACAAAGTCCCTCAGCAAGTTGGCTCTGGCGGCGCAACATTCAAACTGCGCATCCACTCACAAAAACTAGGATCATCAAAGTGAACAAAACTACTTTTCAGCTTCATTCGCTGTTCTGCAGTCAAAGTCCGAAGCTGAGGAAACCTCGCCTCCTGCAGTCGCGCAATATCATATCTATGTGATTAACCAATTTTCCAATTTCACGTCCACAATTAACATCGTGGAAAATAGCAACTCAAGTTTAGTGTAAATTTGCTTGACAGCATTTACCTGCTCATAAGGAGGGTCTTTATGCGCTGGTATGAGGCGAGATACAAAATATCGAGCCTGAGAGCTCCCTTCCTATTACAACAGAAGCACTCACAATTACATTCCAAAGGCATAAGGAAATTTCATGGCAAAATAGTTGATGTAAATTTATAGAAACCTTAAAAGCAAGAATTCTAGGAGCAGGAAAACGAAGCTCACTGAGCTCCTCAGCCAAAGTCCTACACGCTGCCAAAGCTGCTGCACTCTTTCCTTCCTGTGCAGCAAGTTCGGCACCCTGAAGAACAATATAAATCAGTTAAAAAAGAAAATGTTGTTTATAAAAGATATGNAAAAAAAAAAAAAAAAAAAAAGTCTTCTCAGCACAGAATTCAAACTTGAATTGAATCCACACTGCAATATTCATATCTTCAGTTTACTTCAGCGCATTAGAAATGACCAAAACTGCACCACTACTTTACCTGAATTCATTATTGACCCCTAATATACTAATTATTATCATATGAATATTGAATACTTGATCTGAACATAAATACAACAAGGGTAAAGTCTTAGAATTTCATGTAGCCTCAATGTTTGAAATAATTGATTCTGACATGTCTACGAAGTGCAAATCAAATGTCAAGCAACACTGCAGCAATTATATTGTTGCAACTCTTCAATGAGCCCTACCCATGCACCACTTTATAGTTGGTACTTTGGAAAATAAAAGTTAATCAATAAGCATGAGATGCTCTCAAACAATGAGACACAGTAAAAGTAATTAATGCACTGTCATTTAGGCAGTGAAAATTCTTCAACTGGCTCGTGTATGCAACAGGTTCTTCAGAAAGTCAGTACAAAGTCTTGACAAATGTCACAACAAAATACTTTTTTAGGTGCACATATAAAATTCGGAATCATCAAACATGATAATACATACGAAAGAATCAGCAGAATATGGTGTATTGAGTGTAAGTATAGAATGTGATCTCATTTACAAAACCGATGACACAAATGTACCATAAAAACATCATGATCACCCCACACGACACTTTATTACCATAACTATTCAAAGAAAAAGAATCAAAATTTCAGCGGAAACAGAACGACACCATAAGACTTAAGGTTATAACATGACTTGAACTTAGAATTCCTAACCACTTGAAAATTAAGCACCAATTTGTAAAATCTCCAAGATTTCAACAATCTTTGATAATAGAAAGCAGGGATGATATCTAGTTTTACAATATGATCTAGTTTCATCCTACTAACGTAATTGACCATGAATGTAGATAAGGTGGTTATCAAAGTGAAAGTACAAACACAAATGTCCATCAAAACATGAGCAGTTAAAACTGTAAAGTTGTTAGTACAAATGAGTATCACAATGTAATAAAAAATCGGATAAATAGGATGTTGGGTGTTATATTATCATTATATTCAACAATCAACATAATACCGCATACAGGTACGTTTAAGAAAATTGTTCATCAGTGTATGAACACTGAAAGGTGCCACCATGGTATAACGAGCATTTAGGATAGCAGTTCATATTACTCTTCCATAGAAAAGGGAGAAAATAAACTGCAGTTCACATGTAATGATCAAGAAAAATGACATGGACATGGGATAACATATAAGACAAAAAATATGTTTTATCAAGTAAAAGAAGGAAATAGGAAACATAAATGGTGAAAAAAGTTTACAGTTTTCCGTAAGCACTGCGTAGTCAAGAGGAAATCAATTGAGGCATCATATGATTAGTGTTGTTCTCAAAATGCAATGTTCTATTAGCACAAAAGACATGCACAATGGCATACCAGCCAAATAAAGATATCAGTTCCATGATCAAGAACAACTGCTGTGTCAGACTGCATAGCAAGGTCATAAGCTGGTAGTTCCTCAAAAGTCCCGCCTTCACGATGCATTAGACAGCGGGGCGCAAGCATACGGAGGGACAGATCAAAGGATGCATTCAGGAATAAAGCCCGCAAAACAGACCTTTCATCTTCATGACCAAGTATACTTCCCAAGAGTGGGCCTCTTCTAATATGAAACAAGAGCTCGGGCAGTGACGAAAGCTCTTTAGGGTACCGATAATGCTTTGACTTCGAAACCTGGGAACCAAACTTACTCGCAACATTTTTAATCCTCTCATCCAGAGTCACTCGCATATCGACAGCATCACGGAAGTTTTTGGCTCGTAAAAGAGTCCTTTTACCGATTAGAACAGCAGCCACTTCACTCTGAACACTCTCCAGATAAGCTGAAATACTGTCCACTGTAGGGAGCTTAACAGTAATTACTCTCGAGATATCAGCTTGATACACGTTTGAATACTGAATCCCGAATTGGAAGTACACAAAATCGCTCTTGATATCCCCACGAGTCTCCATTGATATCGCAAAACACTGTGTTTCTTCAACGCTCAGCATCTGTATAGGAACAGCATTATCAGACTTAAAAGACTCGTGATTGTCCGTGTGCGCCTCCTCGCCTGGGCCAATCACTTGACTAACAAATATATTATCCGAACACCGGATTTCCAACAAACCATGGGAACCTGCAGCCCTCGTGGATGCCCTCTGCAAGTTCACACCAAAGGCTTCCCCAAAGTCATCATGGAGGATGAGAACACCCCCAGATGATTTTGCAAGAGGTTGCAGAATGGGAACACGCACAGGGCATGTCCCAGCACAAAGTATATCAACCACTGTATTGCGATTTTGAGCTTCACGGCCTAGAGTCTCCATCCATTTCATTGCAGTTTTCTCCAAATGTGGATAGTTCGGATGACTCAGAGAATGAGGAACTGAACCAGGGCCGTAAGTGTTCGGCCCACCAGCGCAGACAATAATCCTGCCATTTCCACCAGGCCTTTTGACAACCGCTCTTGACATTTCAGGTGATGGACCCTGAATTATTGCCATAGCAACCTCCACTGCAGTACCTAAGCAGCGATCTCTGGAAACTTCCGGAATATTGTTCATTTTATATGGCATCAACGATGACAGGATCGCATGTGCTACCGGAAGAGAAGCATGGACTGGCGACAAATAAATCCCACTTCCATATATTAATACCCTTAATGCTTCTTCACCAGGTGATTTGTCACCAGGAAGCACATCTGCAGATGCCATAGATTCTTCAGAGAAATCATATACTGAAACCGTGCGACCGTAAAGCACAATTCCAAGCCTAGTTGTTTGGGGCAAGGAATCCACAAATACATGCAAAGAGCTCTGCAGATGCTGCAGGTGTTGTTCGTCTAAACACTCGTCAATTACCAGAACAACTGGGGCTGATGTTCTGGATTCAGATACAGGAACAAAACCAGGTCTTTTGTTGCTAGTCCGGACATAATCAACCAGAGGAGATGATAGTTCAGGTATATTTCTGAGCTCTTCTTTGCTTGAAGCAATGTATTCCCCTTCACTTCCATTCAAGTTCCTACATATTACACATTGCCATTGGCCTGAACCAAGTAAGATATTGCAGTAAAGATTGGCATAAGCTCCGCAGTTTTGGCAGCGGTGTGGATCACGCTGGATTATCTGAGGACCTAGTGACACATCCCTGCCAGGAGAAACTAATGCACCAAATCCTAAACTGGGCACATTAGCCAGTTTCTTTTGTTTCAGAACCTGATAGATCAAACAAATAATAGAAAATGCAAATTATCAACATACAACTACAATATAAAGTAGATATCAGATTCAAAGATAAGAGTCGAATCGGAATTCTGCTAAGAAGCCAAAAGGCCGTAACAACATACCTCTAAAGAGGATTAAGACAGAAATCCACATAAAATAATAATCTCACAGTGTTTCAATTACTCCAGTTAATCAAACTTTTTCCCAAATTAAAACTCCATACAGTGCGTTCACCAATTTTTTCATGGGACTACATTACCTTTCCAATTAACAGGGACGAATTGAGGCAAAATGAGAAGCAGATTAGAGTAACAATATACCTTGTGAGCTGAGAACAAAACATTAGGATACTCAGCAGCATTGTCCAGTTCCTCTGTAACATCAGATGACTGATGCTGAAAGTCAACCGACCCATTAGAAAAGTGTGGAGGTGGTGAGGATGTGGGTAAGGAAGAACCAGAGGAATACGCTATGGGCTGAGGAGTTGCAGGAGAAGTTCTAAATGGGACGGCAGCTGGTTGCAGAGGAGATGAAAACACTGGTGGGCCAGGGGGCGTGCTCATGTGCGGCAGGGGGCTCCCGGCTCGGATCCCATTTGCTGGGGACGGTAAATTGGGAGTCTTTATCGAAGGAGAAGGGATCTGATTAGGCTGTATTACCGGCGGAGGAGGGAACCTTGGTATTGACGGTGAAGATGACGACGGAGGAGAAAGAAGAGGAGCACCAAATTTGGTATCTAGCTTAGGAGGAGGCGGAGAAGTAACGGTGGAGGAGGAGTAACTCGCAGACGATCGCTGTGAACTGGCCATTAGAAACCAAAAGCTGAAACTGAACGAAATTTGGGGAAAGTCAAATCACCGGCGGAAATAATCAGTAGTAACTAGTAAAGGAAGATCGAGCTCAGCCGCTCTCCACTGATCCGGAGAGAATTTGCGGGGAAAGGAGCGATCGATCTCTGCCGTTTGCGACAGAGTCGGCGGCGGTCGGAAGCTCGAACTTTCCGGCGGGTCGGATACGGATCAATGGGTCGACCCCCTCTGATGAATGAGAGCCCTTCGCCGCCGGGTCTCCTTATTCCGTACGATCGCTCGTCCCTCAGATCACAGCAGCAGACGAGTTGGCCGGCGAAGAGGATGATCAGGCGAGGGTGATCAGTTTAGGGCTCAGTTCAGGATTCCTGCATTTGCGTTTCTGCACATTTCAATTCATTTGCATTTTGCACCATGAAAATACAAATATCACCCATTGCACCTTACAGTTGTCAGTCCCCGATTTCATGAAGTGTAGTGTTTGTTAGCTAAACATGGACCTCGAATAATTTTGAACCCTTAAAATCGAACTGAATTTATTCCGGATTGAAAAATAATCGTTAAACATTTGACTTCTTCGAACTAAACCAACCAAAAAAATAATTAGTACGGTTTTGAAGATTTTTCACAAATATATGTACATATGACCGAATTGAATCATCTCATACCGTATGGAACCGATGAACTGAAATTAAGAACTAAATTATAATATTAGATATGAATTTTCATAGATTTTATATCTAACTTTAATCTTATACAATTTGAATATCTTTAAAATCTTAATAACATATAGTAATAACAATTAAACTTAACTTAATTTCATTTTTAATAATACTTTATCTACAATTAATTAAAAAATATTTATATTATATTTTTTTGATATTTTTCCCAGTCTTGTTCCACCTTATAATTAAAATAGTATGAAATGTTACATAAATACTTAAAAAATAATTATATTTTATTTTATTTGGATATCAAATTTTCATTATTAGTTGCACAAATTTAGTATTATCTAAAATTTTGAGTTACTTCAGTTTTTTTGAAGTTGGTTTTAGATAAAATATTTAATATGTTTAAGTATCGGTGAATGTTAGACTTTTTTTAGAAAAAAAAAGATAGCTATATCAAAATTTAAATATAACTAGAGAGTCATTCAAAACAAATTAAAATATAATTAGAAATCTCCAGAGCTCCAAACCAAACTAAATCGTCCCGATAGTCTTGAGTACCAAATCGAATCATCCCGAATAATAAAATTATTTGAACCAAACCGAACTGATTTTTTGGTACAGTTCCGGAGATTGAGTTTAAATGATCTCTGAATTTTGGTATGATTCTGGAGATTTCTTAATCATCAAACCATATCGACCCACGCTCACCCTATTGTTAACCTAGACCTGACATGATTGCCCCTCCAATCTGGCCATAATCTCTTATTTGTTTACCCATATTACGACCTGCCTGATCGAGTAAGGCTCGGGATGCATAGGGGTGAGCTTAGGTGCCCGAACCGCACAACAAAAAATTGAATATCGAAAATCTAGAATTATTTCACTAAACCGCACCGCAAGAGAAGGTAAACCGAACCTAACCGAAACAAAATTTTTCGTTTAGTTCAATGCGGTTTTTCGGTTAACCACAATTAAAAAAGGATAAACAAAAATCAAAGTTCAAACCATACAAATTGAATCAATTTACTAGACTTAGGGGGGTGTATTCAATTAGGATTTCTAAGGACTTTTTAAGACTTTAGAAATTTTGCTGTATTTAATTTAAATTTGTTAAATTTTTTTAAGACTTTTCAAAATTCTGGGGTATTCAATTCAGATTTTAAAAAATCTTACAAAATCTGAGGTATTTAATTTATTTGACAACTGTGATTTGTTAAGACTTTTTAAGATTTGGTGAGATTTCTAAACAAAAAACTTTATACGAAATCCCACTTCAAATCCTACCTACAGACTTAAATTTTATAGAATTCCTCTAAAATTTGAAAATCTTACAAAATTTTAAAATGTCACTTAAAATCTCAAATGAATACACCCTTTAAGCATCTCATTACAAAACAAAACAACCCCAATCCACTATAAACATAAGTACAATAGTAAATAAACATAACAAGAACATCCAAAAGACCATAACATAAGTTCAATAGTACTACTAGCAGCAGCATAACACATGTTCAATGTACTCTAAACCAGCAACAGCATAACATAAGTCCAATGTAGTCAAAACATGCAGCATCCATCAGCACTCAAAACAATATCATCCACAATATAACTATAATAAACTAAACGTAAACTTAAAGAAAAAGTAGTTTGTAAATTTATAATAAAAGTGTATTCATTATATAAAATTATTATTTTTTATAAGACAAGACTATTATTATTTATGCAAAATGTTTCAAAAATGAGAGTGATATGTAAATTAGCAAAACAAAACGGAATATCTAATGGGCCTTCTGGCAAAGTTAAAGCCCATTAACAATCAAGCCATTTTTGGGGTACATAATATAAAAAGGCGCTTCTCTTAGCTTCTTCCCCTCACACCAAAACCCTAGCCAGCCATTTCTGCCGCGAAGATGCAGATCTTCGTAAAGACTCTCACCGGCAAGACCATAACCCTCGAGGTCGAGTCCTCGGACACCATCGACAATGTGAAGGCCAAGATTCAGGACAAGGAAGGCATCCCGCCGGACCAGCAGCGCCTCATCTTTGCCGGGAAGCAGCTCGAGGACGGCCGCACCCTCGCCGACTACAACATCCAGAAGGAATCCACCCTCCACCTCGTCCTCCGCCTAAGGGGAGGCGCCAAGAAGCGCAAGAAGAAGACCTACACCAAGCCCAAGAAGATCAAGCACAAGAAAAAGAAGGTCAAGCTTGCCGTTCTCCAGTTCTACAAGGTAGATGACTCCGGCAAGGTGCAGAGGCTGAGGAAGGAGTGCCCCAACGCCGAGTGCGGCGCGGGGACCTTCATGGCCAACCATTTCGACAGGCACTACTGCGGTAAGTGTGGCCTCACCTACGTCTACAACAAGGCTGGTGGGGATTGAGGTCCACAAGTTGTCTGATTGAGATTGGTTGAGTGTCATAATGTTCTATCATTTGTCATTGCTATTCTAGGTACTTTGATTTGAACATTCTCTGTTTGAGTGGCGTTTGAGACATGGAATTTCATTTTACTCAGCTAAATTTTAAAGGTTAATTGATGATTATGCTGTTGGGTTTCTTGTTTTGATTATGTTTTTATTGTTGTTGGTGTATTTGGGAAGAACTATTGATATAAAAATTTCTTTTTGTCCATGAATAGTAAACCCATTTATAGAGAAAGTGTCTCTGTTGAATTGGAAAATTGGTTTTAGCTAAAGTGACAGTCTGACTTGACCACATTGGATTATGATCTTGAATTTCTTGTTTTGATTATATTGGCTGAGATTATCGGTTGAGGTTCTGGATATTGGTAGTGGTGTTGTGAAGAATCGATACCATCATGAAGTTCAAATCTGATCCATGTATTTAGGAATGGTATCAGTCGGGGTGATTATAGACTTAAAAGATTTAGAAAATCAAGAGTAGCAGTCAGTATGAGTGCATTTTGTTTGCACGATTTACCAACAATATAAGTTAAGTTTGTATTGGGGGGGCTGACAATTAGTGAAGCTCAAGCCTGTTTAGGTAGTTTTCTGCTGTAAGTTCTTTTACCAGTTTGTAATGTGCTTTTCCCCAAGTTATTACCATTGCAAGAATTGCATGGAAAGGGCTCATTCCTCAAGTGTTGGGGATAATCTCTTTAAGCCCCTAATAGGATAGGTTAACAATTTGGTAGATGTGTGTTCTCACCATTAGCGAGCACTATCAATTCCACCAACCTGTAGCAAGGGGCCAAAGGGCGTTGTAGCTGAGATTGAACATATGGTGCTACCTTGGGTGTACTTAAATAGCATTATGAATTGATAACTACATATTAATATGAGTGAACATGATAGGTGGTTTTTCTGCGTACCTTGGTTTTTCTTTGGATTATGAATTTCACTTCAGGCATATGCTTGACTAGTTTTTGTGGGTTAATGAAATCTGTCATCATTAAGTTCAGTTGTCTGGATGGAGACTAGTGGGTTAATGAAATCTGTCATCATTAAGTTCAGTTGTCTGGATGGAGAATAATGAAGGCATTAGCAAGTGCCATTTATAGAAATTGATTGCCTGGCAGAATTCCCAATTGTGTTCATTTACTTGGTAGTTTGGATATGCTGTGGAGGTGTAAGAAAGTTGGAACATGACCTCCTAAGACGAGTGTGAAATTGTTGAACACTGATCTTTGAAATTATTTGTAATACTGAAAAAAATGAGCAAAATCTTTTAATTTATCTTGGGTTGATGATTATAAATAGTTATTGACCCCTTGATCTGGGACGATAACAGTACCACTAGAGGTCTAGACATGGTCGGAGAAAACTAATGATTTCTCATGATGTTCTAATGGGTGGAGGATAAACATGTCAAGGTATAGCCAATTGGTCAGCACCACCAAATCATACTTTTGTGGTGGTTTTCAGCTAAATAGACAACAGTATATATGGGTTTAAAATTTTCAAATACCTGGAGACATGATTTTAGTGAAAACTATCAAATATGTTGAGGCGTTGAGTTATGTATTTTGGCATTAATTGCGTTGGTATGATTTTGTAATTGAAGAGGAGAATGCTAACTTTGTATTCAATCAATTTGTAAGAATAAATTAATACATGTAATTTGGTAAGACTGGTTTTGGGGTTTTTCCATGTACTTCAACTTTTTCCTTCACTCTTTCCATCTATTTTGATAGTTTTTCCCAAGGTTAAGTACAAACTCAGAAGTTTATCAATCTCTTCGGCATTTATAGTTTAAGATGACAAGATGTTGTGAGTGGGATGCAACCATCGGAATATTACATTGTATATATAATCATATAGCGAGGCATTATTTTTTTTATTTGTTTGGACCTAATGTTTAAGCTCCTTGATAACAATATCTTAGAAAATGAAAGATTATCTCGAGAATAAAAAATTAGAACAATTAATAAAATTAGAAAAAATGTGTTTTTACATGTTTCCAATCTACACATTAGAAAGTGCATTATATTTTATTATATTATAAAAAGTTATGAAGGAAAAAAAAATGCAGAAGATATATAACATAAGGACCAGAAGGCCACGAACATAAGAGCACAAAAGCCTTATCAGTGGCATCATCTGGAGGTGGACTCGCTCAATTAAACTGACGATCGAAGGCTAGGAATGAAAATTCCCAGAGCCAGGGCTGATATAAACCCCCTTTATCTCTCTCAAGACGATTGCCACACTCTGTAGCCATGGCTGCTCTCAAGCTTTCATTCTGTTTATGCTCTTGCTCATGCGTTTGTGCTCCATCCCTTTCAATCAACACTTCTTTTCGCACTCCAAAAATGGCTCTAAGCAGCAAAACCAGTGACGCCATCAATTTAATTTCATCCAACTATCAAAATCTGCATCTGGCACAGAAAACGGATTAGATTAGATTAACTATTTATAGCCACAAGAATTCTGTTGTGTCAGTAGAGTACTGGAAAAGAAATTGTTTGCTAATGTAATAAAATTCTCAAGGGGTTGGCCAACCATGTCTGGACTTTGCAATCCACCACAAGAGTCAGTTTGGACATTACATTATCTTACCATTAGGCTGATAATTATTCAACAGTAATAACATATTAACCAAGGAAAAGAAAAAAAGAAATTAGCTGCGAGGGTCATCAGGAAGGATATTTTGGGCATAACAGAAAAACAAGGAGATAAGAGTTCTTGTTCATGCTTTTATCTTGTGAAAGGTCATTATTTGTTTGCAGCTTATCCTTTAAGGAGAAACCAGGAGACATTAGATGCAGACTTTGCAGTTCGGTTTCGGTTCACTTCTCCATCAGAAACCCTCTTCTCGGCCGAAGAGAATTGCAAGTGGGCCCATTTGCAGCTTAAAAAAGTCGAACAGCACTTGGCCAGCTGTATCTCTCTCGCTTTTTGCATCTGGGTTTTTTCTCGGCCCACTCATAGATGGACTTCACTCGAGGGTGAATCTCGTGGTGTACCAAAATGGGGCGGTCAATATCGGCCCACTTCACACCAATATATGGGTAAAGAGCTCGAATATATGACTTCATATTGCATCTATACAGTTGATCATGCTCTTGTTGCTGATTTTTNTTAGGTGCCTCCTTTACTTGGGCTGTTTTACTGCACTGTGGGGTTAATACAGCTTGTGTTTGATGAAAAGCTATCGGCCGGGCCGCCTCCGGAAAGTTCCGTGGAGAAAGCAGCTGCTTCATTACTGTGAGTAGCCAAGGCAGCTCAGTGTTCTATTCTTGGGCTTAAAAAGTGTAAGATTAATCGAAAGTGATTAATGTTTCAGGGCTCTGGTTCTGTTCATCGAGTTAAGCGCTGAGCTGTACAATGCTCGAGTGCCGGAAAATGTGGAAGCCTATGTGTTATTCACAGGGGCAGAAATAGCATGGCTATTGCTAGATAGGACCAGGCTCGGTTTTGCGCTTGCTTGTCTTGTAGGACTCGGTTGCCCAGTAGCAGAAATTCCGATAATCAAGTAAAATGTGGAAATATGTAGATATGAATCTTGTTCTCAATTTCTACCAAAACATGGATGATGATATTTTTGAACGGTTTTATGAGTTTTTGTATTTCAGATTGTTCCATCTGTGGTACTATCCTCGAGCAAACGTTGAAATTTTTGGACAGGTAATCGTGTGTAAGAGTTAACAGCGTGTATAATTATGCTCGGTTGAGGTTTTTGGGCTGAGTTCTGTTTTTCTAGTGCAGGGGTTAGTGACATGGACCATCACTTGCTATTTTGTGTACACACCATTCTTGATAAATCTGTCCCGCTGGCTGAAATCCGCTGCTGCAGATGATAAGAGTCACTATAAGTCATAAGATAGGTTAATAGATCTGGTGTAGATTTTCCTATGTGAAAGTGTTAAGATTATATGAATGAGATAGAGCTTGTTGAGGAAGAAAGAAGAATACCTAGATCATGTGTACATGTGTGCGTGTGTGATTCCACAATAAAAAAACCAAGTACGGATATTTCAAATTCGCTATTTATTTTTTCGAAACGGCAAACACTTTTATAATTAGAAAACTCAAAAAAGTATAGAGGATGTGCCAACTGACACAAAGGAACCAGACAATCTGGACCTACCCAGATCCAGGGGATACAACTCAATCAAGAAGACAACTACAAACACAAAACGAAACTCCATGAAGGAGATTAACGCCAGGCGAAGCTGGACTAACAGAGCAAAAAATAAAGAAAAACACACACGTAATGTACAGATAAAGTAAGACATCTCCTACACCTAACAGACAAAACGCACGATCACCTGAGTCGGCGCATAAGCCACTCCCAGCAGCACAAAGGTTCAACAAGCCGCAAACCGAAACCTCAAACCCGAAAATTGCAGCCACTAGCGTCGCCTAGACGGATCCAAGAGTTGATTCTCGATTCAGATCTGGGCTCCGAAACACTAGCATGTTGGGGAGAGGGAGGAGCCGCCACGAATAGGGCTGCAAATGAATCGAGCGGCTCGCGAGCCGCTAGAGTCAAAGCTCGACTCGAGCTCGAGTTTGACCGAACTCAAGTCGAGCTCGAGCCCATATTTTGCATTGTCGAGCGGCACGAGATACATGTTAAATTACTAAAATATCCCATATATATGTATATTATAGGTGCTTAATGGTAATTTTACTTTTCCATTCAAAAATTTTCGAGTCAAGCTCGAGCCTCATAAATCAAGCTCGAGCAGCTAAAAAAAGAAATCAATCATGCTCAATAAGGCCAACGCTCGACTCGGCTCGACTCGTTTGCAGCCCTAGCCACGAAAAACAAAAAGGCCGACCACCAAGTGGAAGGACTCGAAAAATGGTCAACAACGCTCAACAAACTGCAACCATGGACACCGCAATGAAGGAGCATGAACTCAGACCCCCCGACTGGCCGGTAGACTCCTAAGGCCAGGGGCTAGGCGGTGACGATCGACGACTCGACCTTAGCTGGGGACATGACATGACAAAGCGGCGGAGGCAATCCCATAAAAAACCTTACTAAGTAAAACCCAATGGGAAAAAACTTAGCTAAGGGAAAAAGAGTACAGCACCGACCAACAGGGCCTAATTTTCAGAATTACAATTAGCCTTCCGGGCTCGATCTTCAGGATTTATTTATCGCTCCCCCTCAAGGCAAGTGCCTTTCAAGTTACATTTATAAATGTTTAGTGCTCCCCCTCAAGGTAAGAGTATCTACATAAAATCGTCACTGGTTGCTCTACCGGAGTTAATATGGATTCAAAAATATCATCAAATGTATTTCCATAATTTATTTGTGTAACACAAACTAAGTTATCTTCAAGATGAATATGGAGAAATTTCAATAACCAATGGTAAAGAGTTAATACCATTTGAGAGGTATATAACCAATCGAGGACCCAGTACTTCGGGGATCAATTATACACTTGATGTCCTTATCCACCAATATCATATATCAAGTCCAAAGATAACTCAACATACATGAACGCATAATGGAATATTCTCAGTTTATCACAATCTCCTTAAGAAGAGAAATAGTAAATGTTGCTAGCAAATTCATCACAAATGCAGTATCAGGCCTGATACAGTTTGCGTAATAAAAGTTCAGCACAATTGCGCTTAGTAAATAAACTTCATGTCGTTTGTGGACTTCAAGTCCATTAGAACTTCAGGTCCTATAATATCCTCATTTGTTTCTTTGGATCTTTGTCAAATTCCAAATATTTGACACTCATTGGTGTTATAATTTTACATATATACAAAGAGATTCAAGTAGATTGGTTGGGTAAAAAATACTCCCTCTAGGAGATGTTCGATCTACAAGTCGAGATAATACTCTTTGGTATTTAACCAAGAGTTTTATTCTAACTCCGTCTATAAGCATGAGCTAACTTATTTAATCTTTTACATAGTGTTCTCCACATAATCTATTGACCGAGATGATCATTCCGTATATTATCATTAATATACACAAGGTTCTACCTTGACTTTTTTACTGTACTTCTTCAGGAAGAATTTAGTTGGTTGTACTACATCTTACCAACAACTTCAAATAATTAAACTATTTATTATTTAATTATCGTTCATCTCGGGTACTCGAGTCCATTCAGGACTTTCACATATGACTCAATAGTCATGGTAATGATGCTGCCATAAATATTAACTTGCGGAATCATTGATAATGAGAAAACTTATCTAAATAAATATTTGGGTCTCTGCATAAGCCCATGAGCATAATCTCGCTATATTTACATCACACCACCACATCACATATTTCATATAAATATTCATTATCCTTCTGGGATATGCTATCCTCCTGGGCGTCGTTTACTTCGGCTGACGGGATAGGATAACTAATATAGTGGAGTTTATCATTAGTTTACCTCAAATGATTGGGACAGGTTTCGTCCTTGCTGGCACGCATGTGGCGCGCGGGACCCACACCATATCTTGCATTGACTGATTAATTAAATCCCAGGGGGGAGGCCGGATATTCTTACCCCGTTTTTCATATGCCCATTATATCCTCACTTTTCCATTACAAAAGACAGAAATACCCTTTATGTTCCATTTATTTACAATCAATTACCAAAATAAAAACCAGAATTCGTCATTTTCCTTGCAACATAGCAGAGACATGCACTTCCACTTTTTTTGGTTTTCCGACGAACTCGATACCCTCGTGCTCTCCGTCTGTTGGAAGGTAAGCTCGAATTTGTCGTCCTGGTTATGTTTTCTTGGTAATGGATTTATCGATTGTCATTGTTTTTTTTTTTTTATTTTTTTTTATTTTTTTGTGTATTGAACAAAAAATGCTTCATGTTGCCCTGGTTTTGCAGTTCCTTGGTTCGTGCTTCAATAGGTGTTCTTCTGCGTTATTTCGTTGTCTGTGGTAAGTTTCAATGTTCCCATTATTTGTGTGTTTTTTAATATCATTTTTTTGGGGGAGAACATAGGTTCTCGTCGTCGCGCAGAATTAGGGCAAATCGATTTGGGGGAGAACTTCTGAAATCGAGTACAATGAGATTGGGGGAGAACTTCTGCTGAAATCGAAATGGGGGTAATGAAGTCTTTTGAGTGGTTATCATCTCACATAATCCATGGAAGTAAATGGGGGATTCATTTATGCAAATCCCATCCCGAAATGTAAACAAGAGACTAAATGCTGACATGGAAAGTGGTCTTGATTATGTTGTCAAATCCCATACTGCAAAGTAAACGAGCCCCCGGGATATATCGTGTAGCGAGTGAAAGCTCTGCCTCAATTTTCTTTTCTATCTCAATCAACCTAAGTGCTTCTAGCACTTTCATTCTTTTGATCCGGATCATTATTTGAGATAGTAAAGAAATCACATAGGCAAGTATGTTGTCGACAACTATGATATTCAATTTATATTTTTATCTCAACCATTTGCTAGCCATATTTATAATCATTTCCCGTAACATCTAATTTTGGCCGTTCTGCATTTCCAGTACTATAATAGTTTGATGCACGGGCAAGATGTACTGGACCAACTCTTCAGGAGTTTCTTATAAAGGACTGTTAATTCTTGAATATACACTTTCCGCGGAGCGTCATACATGATATTCATTATATCACCTTATGCTTCTAGCATCAAGGAGTCCATTCCCTAGGGAATTTGCTTACTTTGTGGTACATCTATATCCTTATAAATTGGTCACTCTATTATAACTATATATTTCGATTAACATAAATATAATATGACCTTCAAGTTCAATTTTTATTGCGTTTCAAATAATGAAAACACTAGTACTGACCCGTGCGATGCACGGAATGGTATATTTTTTTGAAACTTTTTTAATATTAACATTAAATTTAATGCACTTTGTAGATATGTAACAAATGTAAAATAGAAAAAAAAAAACAAATTTAAACTTAATAAATTAGTAAATACTTTTTTGTACACAACGTTTTGGGTCTGATTTGGTGGCAAGTCATCGTCATTACAGACTAATATTTTCAATCCACTTCTTGGTGACGCAGGAGGCGACAACATATAATTGATCATGACTGAACACCGACTTTTTAAGAAATAAACCAATATGCGATAACGACTGTCCTTGGCTCTTGTTGATAGTCATGGCATAAGAAACCATAATCGAAAATTGTCGCCTCTGAAATTTGAAAGGAATTCTGACATCGGAAGGAGTAATAGTCATTCTAGGAATCAACACCTTTTCGCCTTCATGATCCCCAGTGAGTATCTTACACTCAAAACATGAGCGGATAGTTTTGTCACAACCAACCGTGTCCATTACATAAACCCATAGAATGATCCATATTTCGCAACAACATGACGGGAGTTCCAATCTTCGAATTGTTTATTATTAGTAATTATTTAACAAATTATGTTTATAAAAAAAATTAAGGGATCTTATATATTAAGCGGATAGTTTTGTCACAACCAACCGTGTCCATTACATAAACCCATAGAATGATCCATATTTCGCAACAACATGACGGGAGTTCCAATCTTCGAATTGTTTATTATTAGTTATTATTTAACAAATTATGTTTTTAAAAAAAAATTAAGGGATCTTATATATTAACCAAAATTCTAGTAGAGAAAAAGTAGAGATTTTTAGAGATTTTCACGTTATTTTATTTTTAAATTTAATTCAAAAGTAGAGATCAAATCTCGATCCATAGTTGTTCAAACATCACGGTAAAAAGTAGAAAAATCGAAAGACAAAATGGTAAGTTGTCCCTCTTTTAAAAGCATCCAATTCCATAAGGCAAAGAGCTGCACCAATGACATCCGAGCCATGCACTCTAACAATGTGCACCTACAAAGGCAATAGTCCAAATTTGCCTAATGAACTATACATAAAAAAAAAAGATATATATCATCAAATGTACAAATATACAATCGGGAGCCGACTGGCCCTAATCAGATGGGAGAGTCACCTACATGCAGGTGCTCTAAATGAACACAAAAATACACCACTATCAAATACTGATTTCTAAGCACATACTAAGGCCAGAAAAATGCTGTCACCCTTAGTATTCCTTAGCAACCCCAATCAACCTAGGTGTAGCAAAAACAGGAACCAAGCCCACATATATACATCAAAACACAGGCTGAGAAAACTAATAAAGGAAAAATAAACTTCCATGAAAAATTGCAGAATAATAGTTGAGCAGCTTGTGAAATCTGAGAATAAACCAATGAACTCATGAAGCAGCCCACTGCACCTGCTGGACCTAGACCACACTTCACTTCTTCATTGATTTATTTACAGTTTCTTCTAGCATATTCTTGCCAACTTCCCATGGCTAGCTTGATGATGACTCGAGCTGGCATCCATTCTTTTTTAAATACCCAGATATTTTATTAAGGTTAGATTCAACAAAACATAATAATGTTTTCTAATCTCTCCTTAAAAATATCATATCCCATGTCGAATATTTTAACTTGAGCTTCGATTAAAGAGGAAAATATAAAAATTATAAAAACTTTACTGCAATTTGCTAGCTTCAGTCAAATGGAAAATGAAAAATGAGTGTGTCGCTTTTCAATAGCCTGTGACCACTCCAACCGGCACTCAAGCGATGCCTCTTGAGAAGATAGGAGGTCTTGTATTCATTCCCCCATCTGTCCACCAAAGTTATAGACGTATCGTGATTGGGCGAATGAAGTCTGCAGTATGCTGCCATAAGAAGCATTACCACCAAAATGAAATAAAATAAATATGTTAAAAAAAAAAAAACCAAAGGGATCAACGTTTCATGCAAGCTTTTCGAAAAAATGATACAAATTTGCGAATGGCTAGCTCGTTACCAAGAATCCATGAGAGACATTTGAAGAGAGCATAGACTTCAAGAAAAACGGGAGCTCATCAAGCTCACTTTCTAAGCATGAAAGCACTCGATCTGCACGCTCCAGATAGATCCAAAAGTCCTGGGGCAACTTACACTTTGCAAAAACCTTAATAATGAAGATATAATTTGAGGTCTTCTGTCAATCTTGCTCAAAAAATCTGCAAGCATGAAGAAATTACGTGGATAAAGCATCAAGCTTGTAGTAGGTAGCCAGAGTTATAAATATAAACAAATAAATTAATCAAAGTATGAAAAGTAGATAAATTACATCCTCTATACCTACTCATATGGGGTGACTGAGGTTTCATCAATAGAACAAAGCTGAGGTTTTTAAGGTTTGATCAGTTTATGGCGAGGAGGCTTGCGGCAGCCATATCCTCAGACACCAAAATAATCATGGTATACTGTGCAACAAAATACAACAAAATTAAAAACACCAAAGAGATAAACGACCTCATACTTCGGATAAAGCATCAAGCAAGCTCCTTTCTTTTTGTCAACCTAGATCTATAGTAGTAGATTGTAGTATAGAGCAGGAAATAAATATTGAACCTGCATATAAATTAATCCTTGTGCCAATCCTCTCCCCATAGGTAACATAGCTAGTAAGAAGATATCATGTGGATTAAGAATCAAGAAAGTTGCTTTCTTTGGCCGCCTTAAATCTAAGAGTACCTTGTAGAAGATAGCCAGATTTCAAATATAAACTCGTAAATTCATCGGAATATGAAAAGTAGATAAATTACCATTCTTATAAATTTTAAAGGGTGACTGGTTTTTCACTAATGAAACACAGACAGGTTTTTAAGGTTTGATCAGTTTATGGCGAGGAGGCTTTCGGCAGCCATATCCTCAGACACCAAAACAATCATGGTATGCTGTGCAACAAAATACAATAAAATTAAAAACACCAAAGAGACATGTTTTTTTTTCCCAGAAAAAGAAAGAAAAAAAGTCTCAAACCTCAAGCAACTTTTGCATCCATGCCCTCCCAACACACATTTTTGTTATAAAGGGTCTTCAAATTCTTTCAACCTAAGATTTAATCAGCCCCTAGTAATCCAGACTCTTCCCCACCATGCTCCCGAGCGACATCAGCATGCGTGGGCCCTCCTTCTCGACCTTCCGCCCACACGAGGAAGGAAATTCTGTAATTTTCAGATTCCCCAAACAAATATTTTCCCTTACCGAGACTATGATCTCCCGGTCGGCCAAGATTCCAACTGTATTTGGTACATAGAATACATTTCGGGCTGTCGATATCTCGACCCGATCGATGTTTAGCCCATTTTCAGGAAAATTCCGCATCATGTCTGCCAACAAATCTATTCTATCGTCCGCACACAGCTCGAGCCTCACAAGTCACACCATATATGATTTTAAAAAATAAAATGCACAAAAGGTTAATTTAACTAAACCAGAAAAAGGCTTGTTAAAAATAATAAACTTTCTTTTTTCCTATTCATACAGCACCTTAGATGCCTTCTCTCGATCGCGGCCTCTAGACAAAAAATACGCGCTTCTTTCCGGCCTCGGAGCTAATCGATGTCCCGTCCACATGTCTGATGAAAACTCCTGATTTCAAATAACCATACCATTAATTGGCCCAAATAAATGAATAAATAAACATAATTCAAATTGTAAAGAATAAAAAAACTATAAAATTACCAGACGCCGCATCCTCGGATGTGTTGACCGTGGCGTAAAAAACAACATACTCCATATCGGTCAACGTTCAAATAACATAAATCTAAAGCTTATTCAGGTCTCGGCACTGAATATTCACGACCGAGTAATCCTTCTCCACATGATTCCTAACGGATACACTCGGGCCCGAACCAGGCCTAGCCACAACCTTCCTCTCATAGTCTCGGTCAAAAAACATCAGTTGGTGGAGCCTCCTCTCAGTATGAATCTCGTCCAAAGAAACCGAGGTTCTCGCGCTGCGAATGTCATTGTCCGCTTTCAGCACGTTCCTCAAAATGACCCCGATTGTGTCCAACTTCTGCTCGTCCTCGATTGGTGATCCCGATGTACAAACCTTGGCATCAACTACGTTACAACTCAATTGGAAATAACCGCAAAAACCTCGAAAAGCCCAAACCAATCTGTGCTCGTTAGCTCAAGAGTCATTAAACCCTTGATGCTTGTTGGTCGGCTGTAATGGACGGTCTAAAGCGACTGCATAAACAACCAATTAGATAGTTGATCAATCAATTAAATTGAGAAACAAATCTTTTTGAACAACGTTTGATGCGGTGGTAATTAATATAATCGAATAGATTACCTGCTCGATGCAGCTGAAGACAAAANTTTTGAAAAAAAAAAAAAGCACTGAAAATCAATTCCAAATTGATTTTTTCACAATAGTAAGATAAAACGTGAAATTAGCCAAATGCAAAACCCAGTAAATTAATTAGAAAAATGAATTAAAGCCAAGATTTTAAGAACTAAATAACTTTAAAACAAAATTGCACAATTGATCATCTAAATAGTACTAAGGTAACAATATTTAGGATCCTTAGACGAAACAAAAAAAAAGGCTAAAAAATCATTCCAACAATTTCGGAACACAAATACTATAAGATTCAAAACCAACTTGAAATTGGAATAGAAAACATGAAACTAAATTTCAGAATTCATCGCGATTGAACCTTCGAGATATGAACCTGGAACGCCTTCCAAATATGAACCTGGAACCAATATGGATTGAGCGAAGCAATAATATCAAAATCCAATCCTTTTTTTTCAAGATTAAGCGAAAAATATTCAAGCTGACCCTCATAAGCATCAAATAAAATTTAGCAAAACAGTCCTTAAAAATTAGTAAATAAGAAAAAGATTCAAGCTGTTTACATGGAATCGGGGAATGCGAAAAGAGAACCACTGGGCACGAATCAGTAAGAAGCCCCTCTTTATCCCTTCTCCCTACGCTCGCTGAATCCAGACGGACACGACTTCTTACTGGTTACCCAATTGTAGGTCTGGTCAGCCCTAGACGGAGCAAATTCCCGACCGCCCTCGCGATTGAAGCTTTCATGGCGGCGAGGTTGCTCGTACCTGATCCCCACGCAGTTGGATCTGAATCCACTGTCGAGCTTTTTTCGATTGAGCTCCTCGGCGGTGCGCTGGCGGGTCCGGTCGGGAGGGCCGTGGACGTCATCAATGGCAGCCGCTGATAGAAAAGGAAAAGGAAAAGCGTCATTTGCTTTTAAAAGATAATGAAGAGTTTTGTCGTAATTATATAAATGTTAAGATAAGTTGGAATATATCCAAAAAAAAAATCTCTAAATTTGTTACCTAAAAAATTGGGATTCCTATGATTTCATAGTTAAAAAAATCATGTGGTTTCCTAAATAATTGGAAAGAAAATCCGGCCAAATTGTTTATACTGGAATGATTCAAGTATTCTGTTTTTTGCTGATTCAGTTTTGGAATGATTTAAAATAAAAAGAAAATTAAAAAATAAATAATATTTGAATTTTTTTAATTGGTTTCCACAAATGGGAAGTCAATGGTGTTGTTGACCAATTTTTTAAAAGTTTCCACAAATGATTTATTGACCTCTCTTTTTCAATATATATAGATTAATATTTTACATATTTCACGGCATTATTAAACTTATGCTCGTATCTCCTCCTAATGCCGTGAAATCATCCTCATATATTATGCAAAAAAAAACGTACCAAATAATAAATTGATCCCCTATAACGGCATCTAGGTATTAAAAATTCGACGGAGTATAAAAATCATAGCATACCTAGTTTGTAATATAGGCCCATAAAGATATGAATTGGTGTTGATATAAAATGGTGCATAATAAAATGACAATAAATTGCAGATGGGAAATGTTCGATTCTCCACGCATTTTAGGGAGAAATTGTCATAAATAATTGACCAATATGATTCGACTGCTCATGGTACTTATCAAAGATATAAGTTGGGCATCGAAGTATAATAATTCATTTCTAAGTGAACACTATATGCTTCAGGCACTACAATTGAACTTTGCTTGTTAGCCTTTTATCGTAGCTATCAACAATATTATGTGCTTCGGGCACTACATATAAATTTATTATTACAGCTATCAACAATATAAGTCAATGGTATGCATCTTATCAAATATACATGCAAACATAAATAATTTCAGAATACTTATATATTGATCCAAACTTTGTAACATTATTGTTACATCACTTCATTAGGAATATGCAGAGCTGATCTAAAATCAAAATATCATAAATTTATCCAAAAATCAACGAGATTATTTTCTAGATCAATCTTTCAAAGATACTCACTAGATAGTTCTTATGCAATTATGATACTGGTCAACAGGACCAATCTTTCAGGGATAACCAAATCTAGGTCTGTATCCAAATCAATAGTGATACTTGTAATTATAGAATCCTCTAGGGAAACTCAAATCGATAAGCATAAAATTCAACTGGATATTTGCTCTGCAATTCATGATAGGATCAAAAAATAACTATACAAGTTGCATACAATTCATTGGTTCCTTAGTCAATTAGAATAAAGTTCAAGATATTCAAATCGATTTAGGCTCAATAACTTTGGATCACGTCCATACTCAATGCATAAAACAACGAAACAAAATATGCAACTATAATTTCCGAACTAAATTCATGAATTACATATTTTGATAGGTTCACCATATATATTCCAAACAACATACACAATTCACATGTTGAAATTAATCCACATATGCTTCATGCGTATTCAGATGCATGGACAAATAATAAAATATGTGGGTATTTTTATTTTATAACTCTTCAGGAGTATAACAATTGAAGTATGAGAGATTTCATTCCATAAGTTATATTTTTCCTCCATCATAGAAAATAATCATTATCTAGATGATAATGTCTACTGGACATATCTTATGTGTGATACCACTTTCAAATCTTAACAAGTAATGTGAAGAATGATTTGATACATATCAAACAAGAGATGCTCATATAAAAATAAGGACAATTAAATCAAGGAAATATATAGTCTTACAGAAGATAGATAATTTTCTATCATATATCTAATGTAAAAACTTATACCTTTGTACATGTGCTTCTGGCACTAATACAATCTCAATGAACTATTTTCATATTAATATTCTTAATATTGTTTTCCATGAGTAATGATTTGGTTGGATTTCATTATTCTAATGTATTACTTCGGGAATACAAACTGTTCATAACACATTATAAAATATTCGATAGCATCTTAATTCAAAATTAGTCATTGAGGCTTACTCACAGTGTAATCATTCTTTTATTTCAATACTTGTATCGGTGTTGAACCTTCAAGGAGTATATCAAAACTTTATTGTGAATTATGGAAGAAACTTACATCGGTGTTGATCCTTCGGGGAGTATGTAACTGTTAACTTATAGAAGATCCTTCAAGGATTGTATTCATTGTCAACTTACAAGCTATCGATAAATGAAACATTGATTGGCATCTTATAGACAACCGGTACATTGTTCTAATTATTCTATCCATCAATATTTAATATTAGTATCCTTCTGGGACTACTAGTATTCGTTAAATAATACTTCGTCATTTTCATAATTGCACAATGCTATCTTATCATCCAACTATATTAAAAAGATGATCATAAATTGAACTATGTAGCATCAATAAAACATATCCAATATTTCCACCACTTTTTGTATGTACTATTCCTCTCATATACAATAGACATACTTATAATATCACAAAAATTTTTATAGCACTAAAAACGTTAAACATAAATACTTTTCAAAATTTTACTGAGTCATCTAGACTCAGATTCGCATCACATATCCGAAATTCAGAATGAAATGAGTTAATATCAAATATTGCATGAGCCTTGAATCGTTTGAAAATTAGCTCATAGCGCTAAACTGTTCCCATAGTGAAGCATAACGGAACACGCAACTTATCAACAGGATTTAATCTGTTTTCTCATCATTAAGAACCATGATTACTCAAATTTCAGAAAACGAAAAATCAAGTCAAGACAAAATTTCATGCAACCAGAATTCTCGGAATGATTCTCGCTTTTGGGCCAAATTATATGATTCTTATGCTTAGGGTGCGAGAATACTCATTAAACATTAGCAATTCATAAATTCATCATTTTAGTTTATATCTTAGACCACTACATTAAAATGACATTGTACTTTACGCTAAAGAAATAAAACTGTGATGTTGCAAGTGATTTTATCAAATTTTGAATGTAATGATGTACCCTTTCACATAAGGCTTCTTACTCTACTAACACAAAGTAACTCATAGCAAGATATAGCAATTCTCTTTCACATTAAATGAGCAATTTTATTTTATTTTATTTATTTATTTATTTATTTTTTTTAACGCCCAATGAAACTAAGTACCCGCTAGATGAAATATCTAGACTCCATTTATCAACTACTCAGGCACAAGTAAATGACGAATAGCATAAGTGGAAAGATTAATCTCACATATAACGGGAATGAAGTAACAGAAAATTGATCAAACAAAAAATTGAACAGATCTATTCAATATGGTAACTACACATTCACACATATATATAAGCATAATCACTGATTTTGAATAAATAACTTGATGTATATGAAAATCATTAATTCACTCTTTTGGAGATAAATAAATATAACTAAAATTGATGAAACTAATACATCATTATTGATATTGAATAGATCTCGAATGTTACCTTGACTGAAAAGATACGATTCTTTTCTAGAGCATACATATATTCTTGATTGTTACCTTGATTGCCCGTCCGTCTTTATGCCGCTGCCCTTTGCTTAGATGGTAGAGTACTCAGTGCTGATAACGTGTTATAATATAGATTGTCAATATGTAAGATCGATGTGTAAGATAGACAAAGATAGAGAAAGCATGAGAAGAGAATAAGAGATAAAAAAATCATCATCTTATTCATTCACTTAAACCCATGTATAAGGGAGTACAATGTACATGACTAAAAACCTAATGAGCTCCTGACCCATACCTACAAAGCTATATCTAGGTAATGTCCACAAATTAATATTTACAACAACAGTTATTTTTATAGTAATTTTTATAACGTGAAATTTTATGCCTATAAACAAAATTATTATCTTACATTATTTTATGATGAATAAGCGTTATTAATATAATTTATAATTTATTTTATAAGATATTGTATGATCATTCTTTATCTTTTAATTTTATGTTTATACATAAACTTGAGTTCTAATTTAGAGAAATAGAAATAATTATTTTATATTTTATGTATGAAATATAGGTAGGTGAATCAACCAACTAATCATTAGGAAAGTAAATAATTTGATACTTTATATATAGAAAAAAGAGTAAAAAAAATTTGAGTCTTAAAACGAACAAAGATATAAATTTCACGGAAAAAAAATTAAAAGGAAAAAAATAGACAAACTAAATAAATGATGTGTATATCAATTACGTATAGATAAAATTAGAAAAACGAAAAAAAAAAATATCCATTTTAATAAAAATTGATTTACGAAAAATTACATATACAGATATACTATCCCCATGTACCCTAGTAAGTAGTAACTGGCACCGGGAAAAACAAATAAATAAAAATTGATTTTATAATTTATATTCGCACCAGCATCTGTAAAATCGCTCCAGTCCACATTGTACTTTCCATCAGTTCCGTCGGCCGCCATTTTCCTCGACGCCGGTAAACAATTAATCTGTCTCCCTCATTTTAATTTTCTGTTACGCAATCTGTCGAACACTCTTTGGCTGGGTTCCGATGTTCGATTCGCCATTTGATCACTTCTTTGCTTGTATGCTGTTCTTAATAGAAACTAAGCATTAAACTCAACGAGGTCGATTCTCATTAGTGAGTTCACATGCTGTCAATTGGAAATGCAGTTGAAATCCCTCATGTATATGTATTGGCTGGAGATTAATAAGATATAGATTCAAATGTTGTAATGAATGTGCATACCGATGTGTTACAAAAGGCATTGCAAGCGTATAATGTCAGGAACGTTTATCTAAACCTGAGCTCCATTGAATTTGGATGCAGCTATCCAAGCTGTTTTCGGCTACTCAGAAGGGTGATATGTCGACTTCCAGCGGTGAAGGAAAAACTTTGCGTAAAAAGTTGAAAAAAGTTGTGCTAGCCTATAGCGGTGGTTTAGATACCTCTATAGTTGTACCTTGGCTTAGGTATGTTAAATTGTTAATAGCTCTTTATTCTTTGTTTATTTTGTGAAAACCTGTAAATGGGTCTACTCGACGTTTTTCTTTGTCTAATAAATGGATGACTTGGCTATATTTTATTTGCTACCCTTCAAATGATATAATTTTTTTGTACAAGGATATTATTAGTCTTGGGTTATCTTGCTTTATTTGCCAACACCCTATATAATTAATGATTCTGTACCATGTTAACAAGGTGAAATTATCTCGATACTTACCTTTTGCACATATGCTGCAAGGTTGGTTGTTCAAGCACTTTGAATTTCTATTAAGCTGAATGCGAATGTTTATCTTTGTGGTTGATGATCTTACATGATGTAAAAATTTCTATGTAGAAAAAGAAACTTGGAAAATAAGAATGACTATTAGAAGAGGGATATTTGTTGTCATTGATATTGCCTGTGTGATTTGCATAATTTAGTACCTCATTCTTTTGAAATGTGTGGTATTTGTCCAGATAACCACCATGTTTTGATCATTGCAGGGAGAACTATGGATGTGAGGTTGTTTGCTTCACTGGAGATGTTGGTCAAGTATGGGAAAAAATCTCTGAACTAGTGTATCAATTCAAATATAAGTTTCCACACTTTTTACTATAAAAGTAAAGTAGATTGACCATTCTGTATACATTTAGTTTCTGATAATTAATAAATGTAAAGAGAAATGGCTGGTTCATTGTGGCTTACCTTTGTATATTTGATGTGCTATCAATGACACAAAAGGAGGGAAAAAGAATGAAATTTCTGTCTCACATAAAATATAATACCCTACAGGGGTTGCAAGAACTGGAAGGCTTGGAGCAAAAGGCCAAGGCTAGTGGAGCTTGTCAGCTGGTGGTGAAGGATCTGAAGGAGGAATTTGTGAGAGATTTTATTTATCCGTGCTTGCGTGCTGGGGCAATCTATGAGAGGAAGTACTTGCTTGGGACTTCAATGGCACGCCCAGTAATTGCAAAGGTATGTAGTTCATTGGTAAAAGGTAAAAGCAAAAAGGAAGAAAAAAGAAAATCTCCTTCATTCATTTGACTTTCTAAATTCTGCAGTGGATTAATTTATTTATTTGGAAAATAAATTCCTTGTTCAATACTAGATGAAGTTTTATCCTTGAGTTAAAATGCTCGTGTCTAGCTTGTACGTGTTTTACCTTTATCACATGTGATCAATAATATTCATACATGCTTGACTTAGTCCTGTTATTCATCTTGGTCTGTGAAATTATATCTTGAAATACCTAGGCCATGGTTGATGTTGCCAAAGAAGTTGGAGCTGATGCAGTTTCTCATGGATGTACGGGAAAAGGAAATGATCAGGCATGCTTCTGATTTTTCTCGATATGTCCTTATGCACATTTTTCTCAACATTTTTTGTTTAGCCTCTTGCTTTGTGGTAGGTCCGCTTTGAGCTCACTTTCTTTGCCTTGAACCCCAAACTCTCGGTGGTTGCTCCTTGGCGAGAGTGGGAAATAACAGGACGCGAGGATGCAATTGAATATGCTATTAAACATAATGTGCCTGTTCCTGTGACTAAGAAATCCATCTATAGCAGAGATAGGAATCTGTGGCATCTCAGTCATGAGGTGATTACTTTATTATGTATGTGATAAGAATTTATGTTAGTTCCCTTTTCCTGAAATCTGTGAGGAAGCAAGTCAATTAAGGTCGTTTTTTGGTGACCAGAGTGAAACCTTAGTATGGATAAGTATGGTACTGACTATAACTGAGAAGATAGTTTTTATTTTCACTTTGCACTCAGACTACTTTCAATTTCATTTTTCTATTTTGTCATGATTATCATGATTGTTTTTTCCTAAAGTATAACAGTACTTACAAATTTTAAGACAATCTTTCGTAGAGAGGAAATCGGGCATATGACCATAACATCTTTTGATTGTATAGCAATTTGTTTCAGTAAATTGATGTCCGGTTAGGGGATCTCTTAAAGTTTCTTTTTGATAGTTGCCGTGACTATTTGAAATTTGTCCTGTACTACAAATCCTTATAACCGCGTGTTTGATGGAGGCTTCTTGTATTATCGATTTTAAAGGGGGACATCTTGGAAGACCCTGCCAGCGAGCCAAAGGAGGACATGTACATGATGACTGTTGACCCTGTCGAGGCACCTGATCAGCCCGAGTAAATTTACTATCCCATTATCCATTACCTTAATTTTGATTGCTTTTAATACTTCATGTGTCAAAATCCACACTATATAGGTTTATACTCGACACTTTCTCCCAACACACGCAGGTACGTGAAAATCGGTATAGTTGAGGGACTCCCTGTTTCAATAAATGGAAAGGAACTCTCACCCGCATCACTACTCTCGGAACTCAACGATATTGGCGGGAAACACGGGATTGGTCGTGTGGATATGGTCGAAAACCGTCTAGTCGGAATGAAAAGCCGTGGGGTCTATGAAACTCCTGGTGGCACAATCCTCTTCACAGCTGCACGCGAACTCGAGTCCCTAACGCTTGACCGTGAAACCATCCAAATCAAAGATTTGCTCGCCCTCAAGTATGCTGAGCTGGTATATGCCGGCAGGTGGTTCGACCCTCTTCGTGAGTCAATGGATGCATTCATGAAGGAAATCACAAAGACGAGTACCGGATTCGTGACCCTGAAGCTCTACAAAGGATCCGTGACTGTAACGGGCCGCGAAAGCCCGAACAGTCTTTACAGGCAAGATATTTCCTCGTTCGAGAGTGGGGAGATCTACAATCAAGCTGATGCTGCCGGTTTTATCCGGCTCTATGGATTGCCCATGAGGGTTCGTGCTATGCTCGAGAATGGCCTCTGACAACCATGTTAGTCATGATCCTTTTTCTTTCCCCTACTATTACGTAAGAAATTTTAATTTCAAAGTTTTAGTATGCTTTTCATGATTTATTATTGTTGTACTCGTGTTAATCAGCCGGTTTTATAACAATTGAACCATCATTATCAATAAATGGAAACTATTACTTTGGCGCGCATATATTTCATTTAAACATTGATTATCATCATGTTAACAATTTGCAAGCAATGTTGTAAAGTGCATAGGCATCTGCACAAGCTTGCTCGACGAGCTCCTCATTAAGAACAACCGATTCCCAATTTCCCTCATTGTTATCACCACACTTCCTCCTTGCATTTAGCCCGATTATTCTAGACGCGAGAGCCCTTAAACTTGGCCTCCCATTATACCTCACTGGAAACCAATGCTTTGCTAAAAAGTGCAGGTCGACTTTGCGGTCGACATCGAGAGCATATTCTTTATGCAATTTCCTCGAGTTCTCGAGGATTTCTATGCCGACAAACATATTGCGCGGGTCGCTTAGGAAATCCGTGATGGATTGAGGGATGCGATTAATGTGCAGCAGTTGAATGACGAGGCATTTGGTTCCCACACATAGGTTCAGTGTGGCTGTTTTGTTGCTCATCGAGTTGATCGGGTGGCGTATGTACTTACAGTCCATCCCGACAATTCGTTTTGTTCTGTGTTGGTTCAGAAGTTTGACGATGTTTTGCAGCCAGCGTTGAGCCGTGGAGGAACGGCTCGTGACTGTTGTTTCGATGGTCTTGCCATCAAACTCGACCAAATGAATTGTTTCCATCGTTGTCCGACCTCTATCTCTCAACCACCTTGTCTCTAGTGCTTTGGTTTGTACGAGTTTGGGTTATTAAATAGTATTGAAGGTTCATGTCACCCTTTGGCCGCCCTTCTGTCTTCTGCCTCCTCTACACATGAGTAACAAGGTCTGAAAACCTTTTAATGTATCGTGGCTCTTAGAATTCTGCTCACGTTTTGGGTGGAAATCATCAGTTATGTTATTAATTATTATACTAGTCCTTTCAGCTCCGCAGCCTATTTTCCCTCAAAAGAAGGTGAATATGAAAGGTAAGAAAGTTTGAGAGTTGTTCTTGAACGTTGGGCCGGTTTAGGGTCGGTCCGGAATCGGCCGTGGAGAGGTACGCGAGGTTTCTAATTTTTTTATTGAGGAAATTACCTCACGGACGACACCTCAGCTATTATATTGCCCCCTTACGATTAGATTAAAAACTTTAGCAAGATTATCATATAATGTTCTTTTATTTGCAAGGATACGAGATTATTAGATTAGGAAATAAAAATATATTATCCCCAATTAATACCCACTTATTGAGAGCAGTTATCGAAATTAAGAGAACCACCTCCATATTACACGAATATTTACTCACCATCTCTCCACGACCAAACTGAAGCAACCCGACAAATCTCGACAGCTTACATGGAGCTCCAACCCCGATTCCGACGACTTTCAATCAAACCATGGCGAATTTCAACCGAAACAACCCCGAATACCTTCAAAAAGAAAGATCCCCAGTTCGGCTGAAGGAGAAGAAGCGCAAGATCCAGATTATCCCGGTGAAAATGAAATCCAAACCGCAGTAGATGATTCCGAAGAAAAGTTGAGTGATGAACTCGAGGATGAGCAAATATCGAAAAAAAGAAGTAAAAAAAAAAAAAAAGAAATCCATGAAGATGAAGGCCATTACAAAAAAGAAAAGGTCAAAACATAATCGCCAGTGGGAAATTCTAGCGGTGATTCTCAGTCGGGTATATGTTCAGTTTATGTTCAGTATATGCGGCGTATATGTTCAATATATGCGACGTATATGTTTAGTTTATGTTCAGTATATGCGGCGTATATGTTCAGTTTATGTTTAATATATATTCTGCCGTTGGAATACACCTTTGTTGATGACGAAGAACGTATTTTTTGATCGATCACTCTATGCCTGAGTTTCATCTTTTAAATTTTTGAAAATGGTTCTATCCTAAATCGGCGATGAAAAAGGGGATCTGTTATGCCAGATTTGAAGTTTTATTTGTTCTGTCCATGAAAAACAAAATGCTCAAGACAGAATCTATTTTTTTTTTTCCTTTTTTTGTTGATCACGAATTCCATATAAAACTGAACAGAAACCGTTTTGATTTGGAACAGATAAGATCGTATATACACAAATAATTGACATTCAAGTCGTTGGGTTGCTAATTATTTACTCTTAATCGTATCTTTGTAATTATTTGTAAATCATGTAGGATACGTGTAAATTGACCTTTTTTTATTTTTATTTTTATTTTTGTAATTTTTGGGCTGGGCTGGAACCGTTGAGGACAGTTGACGACCCGACAAGATTAATTCTCGGGCATTGGTTCTTTTTGACCTTGGAGATGACCATATTTTATTTTCATATTTATTTTTCTTAAAGACAGTTTAGGTCCGGGTCCGAACTTGTGGAACTGCCAACAGTCAGATTCTTAAATATGACTATTGGATCATTTTGACCGTTGAGATCTAATGACCACGATTGAACCGACACGTTTGAACAGGGCCGAACAAGAATCGACGTTAGTTAATAAAAAAAATTCGTATAAATACCCCTCACCCCAAATTAGAATTTCCACACCATTTACAACATTCTTTCACTTTCTCTACTCATTTCTAAGTTCTTGAAGAGCACATTTTTGAGTTTTATGCTCGGTGTGCTATAAAATCGGTTCAGTTCTATATAAATTCGATTTCGATTCTATTCATTCTCACTTTGGTTTGGCTATATAAATTCTTTACATAATACTTTCATTTCTAGTTTCTATCATTTTCACATCTCTTTTTATTTTATAAAATCTATTCTCCAAGATCGAGTTATAATATGCCGAGTTCTTATAGTGGTCGTGGTAGTGGTGTCGGTGATTGTCCACAAAAGCCTAAAAATATAGGCGCATCTTCAAGTTGACCTCCATTGTCGAGGTCGACACCGACGATATACCGAAATGTTCCAGATGATGTTGATCTCGAAAGGTCCAATTTTATGATATCCATAGGATTGTACACGAGTACGAGGAGGACCAGGAGCAGCCGTATGACCAGAAGTCTATCGATTTCATCAAGAAACATCCAATTTTACTAGTACGAGTGGAACCGTAGCAACCGAAGACGGTTACGAGACGTACGACTACGATTAGTCGATTACTAGAGTGTCAGTTCAACAACACATCATGCCATCTATAAGTAAAGTAAGAGAACTTCGGTTCCGTTTGTTTTGAGGGATTTGAAATCCCTTGATTTCAAAATTTTTCAAATATAATCTTTTTTTACTTGTACACTCGTTGAATGGATGTGTTGAAAATATTATAAATAAATTGTCTAGCTCGCAACGATAGTGTTGACTCACGGTGGTGATGAACCTAATGAGGGCGGACGGCGTGGTCGTCAACGGTGACAAATAGTGGATATCAAATGACTAAGTTTGAGGAGTCATTTCAAATCCTTCAAAATAATGACTAAAAAACATCTAGCATGAATTTGAAATCATCCAATTTTCTTTATCATCCCAACATGCATGAGCATTTGAACTTATAAATTTGAAATCTATTGATTTCAAATCCCTCAAAACAAACAGAGCCTTTGAGAACTTTGATTCCCAAGGTAAGAGATTCGCATACAACTTAACTAACATATTATTATCAGTGTTTTAAAAGTCGCTAGGCGCCCGCTAGGCGCTCGACCAGTGCCTAGCGCCTAGAGCGCCTAGGCGGGGCCTAGGCGGCGCCTAGTCGGGGCCCAGAAATCAATAGTAAATACCTTATTTTTTATTTATTTTAACTACCAACAAAATAAGATTATCTCAACATATAATAAATTCACACACCAAAGTCCAAATAATAATATTAATATATATTAAAGAAAACATGAGAACAAAATAATGTAATTAGTATTTAAAAAAATAAAAAAAAATTAAAAAATTGCCGCCGAGCCCGCCTAGGAGCGCCTAAATCCGCCTACGCCCGCCTAGACGCCGCCTAACCGCCTGGCCGCGGAGCCCGCCAAGGCCGCCTAGCCCCGCCTAGGCGCCGCCTAGCCGCCTGGCCGATTTTTTCTGCCGGTTTGTACAAATCGGAGGCGCCCGGGCACCGCCTAGCGCCTAGGCGGCCGCCTAGGCCGATTTTTAGAACAGTGATTATTATAAGTTAAAATATCGGTTTTTAACCCAAAAAATTCTCTACTTAATTGAGTCAACTAAGCCAAAGTCCAATTTATTTACCCCCTTTCCCCTCCATTTTTTAAAAATAAAATCGGTTAGATCCAGTTCAACCTGGAACCGCTGGGAGTTAATTACCCTTCGCACGACCCCAACTTTTTATATGGCCCATTTAACGAAATTGTGAAAAACTCAATTACACTTTTGCCGTCTCTAATCTTTTCAAATCAATCGCCCTCATCTTCCCTCAAACCCCAACTCCCACCGCCCCACTCGCACCTCTGCGGCACGGCACCACCACCGCGAAGTTATCTAGCCATATTTCAACGGCGTCCTATCTGTTTTCCGAGGAACTTTCCAGAAGATGATAAGTTTTTTCTTGTCGTGTGAGATTACTCAACGAAAGGGTTGGGCCAAGCTATGGAGCCAGAGTACGCAGAATCCGGGCCGAAGGTCGCTAAACTCGGATCGGCTGGAAGCAGACGGCGGGGCACGAGGAGAAGAATGTGACAATTGCGGAGGAGGTGAAGAAGATGCAAGTTTGATTTTAGATTTACGAGTTGCTGGATTTAAGATCTGAGTTACACCGGCAAAATTCCAACGGGACCTTCGCATTCGGCGGCGGATGGAAAACGTGACCGCTGCAAATTGTGAGGAATTGGTAGAGAGCTGACTGGCTTGAATAGTTTGTAGAAAAGTTCTTTGAAAGCAGCTTTTTCATATTTAATTTGATGTTTATTTGAGTTGATTTTAGTTATTGATTTTATTTTTTTGTTTTATATATGGTTTATATTTAGTTTATTTTTTGCTTTTGATTTTTTTGTCTAATCAATTTTTTATGATTTATTAAAAAAATAAATAATATACTTAACACTACAAGAAAATAATGAAATTCCAACGGAAATATATTCCAATAGAATTCCAACGGCTATTCCAATAGATATTTTAATGCTATTATTTCCGTCAGAATTATTCCAACGGAAATTTCAACAAAAGTATTCCGTTGGAATGAGTTATCTATTAGAATTTCCGTTGGATTTTGACGATTCCAACGGTGATGGAAATAAAAATTTCCAACGGAAATTACATATTCCAACGGTCAAAAGTCGTTGGAAATATAGCCGTTGGAATCATCAAATTCCATCTAAAATTCCAATGAAAAATACATTCCAACGGAATATTTTTGTTAGAATTTTCGTTGGAATCATTCCAACGGAAGCTATACCATTGGAATATCCATTGGAATTTCCATTGGAATATATTATCATAAGATTTTCCGTTGGAATATAACAATTTTTTTGTAGTGTAAGATTAACTAGGTTTTTATGATTTATTTAAAAAAATAGATAATATACTTAAAATATACTTAAAGTTAATCAGTTTTTTTATGATTTAGTAAAAAAAATAAATAATATACTTATGATATACTTAAGATTAATCAGCTTTTTATGATTTAGTATAGAAAATAGATAATATACTTATGATATACTTAAGATATACTTAAAATTAACCAATTTTTTTTTTATAATTTAGTAAAAAAAATAAAAAATATACTTATGATAAACCATAAATTCAAATTATTTTTTAATAGAGATAATGTAATAAGTTTAAGATAACCTGAAAATGATCTAAATGAATTTATAAAAGATAACGTTATGGTTTTCAAATAAAAAGGCCTTTGAATAAATAGCTGGAATTATTTACAGGCTTCCTAATAAAAAGGCTTTAGAATCCATATGTGGAATTGTTTTACAGCCTTCGTCGATTGGGAACAGGTTTTTAAACAGAGCATATGTGCGTCCTTTAGACACCCACAATGCTTTGGGTCTCTTTTAAAAAATCACATGTCATGTAGGAAATAGACCTAGCATATAAAAAAGTGTTTCACAATGCAATTAAAAGTAGACTTAGTCTAACTTATGTGGCAATAAAAAAAAAGATACCAAGTCCACCCTTGCATCTATTTTGGACCCAAGTGTGAACCTTACAATAGCAATCATTTACTATTATTATATTTTTATTGGTTGTTAGTTATTCTAGACCTAGTATTTTTTTTTTTTTGTATTGGATAAATTTTGGACTTTTTAGATTGAGTTTGTCCATGTCATTATAGACTTAAGTCGATTTATTTGTCACATATGCAAAAAGAGACCCAAAGCATTGTAGGTGCTCTTAGCCAATCGCTGATTCATTGAACCAACCCACCCATGCATATGATAGGGCTGGTTTAGGGTTCTCCAACCCTCGGTCGGTTCCGACCCGAAAATGAGGTCTGATCATGTCTAATCAAATCAAATGAAACATAACTTGGATCGTGAAAAGTGAATGTTATTTATCAAATCAAATGAAACATAAATCACTGGTTTGTGATCCGGATCAGCCCGGCGGGTCGACCCGGGACCCGGTCGACCCGGAGCGTGAACCGGTCCGGGTGGAGTATTGGACCGGGCAACCAAGGACCCGGTCAAAACCGGCCGACCCGGCCGAGACCCGGTCGACACGGGGCATTGACCCGGCCGGGTCAACCCGGTTGACCCGGTCCATATATATATTTTTTTTGTTTTTTGTTTTTTAAAAATAAAACTATGTATATATGTTTATATGGTAAATATTTATTATGAGATACATATTATTAACACTTTAATATACAAATTTTATACACAAAACATTTAATTTTCTTACTTTTATGTATATTTATATAACAAAAATACTCTATATATAATTTTAAAAATTTTAAAATTAATTATCCGGTTCAGCAATTGATCCGGTGACCCGACAGTTGAACCGGTGACCCGGTCACTCGAGGACCTGCCCGGGTCGATCACCGGGCCGGGTTTAAAAACTATGACATAAATCATAGGGTGAATTTTACTTGGTGAATGTTATTCATCCAAATAAAATATAAATTGATATATGAATCCGAACGGCGGGCCTTATCATTGCTTCAGTGATGAAATATCATTACTTAAGTGTTTCATCTGAAAATTGATATAGGAGTAGTAGTTTATTAGATTGATAAATCATACTTATTTTCTCAAACTAATTAATGTTGGATTAAAATTGGACCAACTCACAATTTTTTCCTTAGTTAATTATATTGGATCATTTCAAAGTAAACATTACAACAAAATGAATATCACGCGATAACATGACACATCTTCACCCCAAATATGTGTGTTGATCAATGGTTAAAAAAAAAAAAAATCGATGAATGCAGTGAAGGCACGGCATGCTCAAAACTCAAAAGAGCTCTCATTATGTAGTAGTGAAATATTCTAGTCCCTATTTCCTTGGAGTTCCCCTAGGCTTCTGGCAAACAGAGTTTCAGTTGCTTTATGTAGTAATTTATTTCTAAAAGGTTAGAGATTTTCACTCTCATCCATCCGTTTTTTTTTGAGTTTTTTTGGGCATGGCCGATGGATTTGCGGACAACCTACGCCACTCAAACAAAACCGCTCAAAAATGAAACAGCCACCACGCAAGCCCCCCAAAAAATGCAGAAGAAGAAAAAAAAATATACTGAAGATCAAATCTACGTTATACTTTTTTTCCTTTTTCTCCCCCAAAATATTTCTGTCGCCCTACAGATCCTAAGGATCTATCCATGGAGACCAAGTAATGGTCGACCTCAAAGGTGCCAAAAACCAAAAATAACAATCATAAAAAAAAAAANCAGGCGTACAGGGAATTACCACATACACATAATTTTTCCTGTATGCCAATCTCCATTTTGTTTGCCTTTCCTCTCTAATTGATGTAAGCCATGAAAATAACCAATAACCACATACTCATCCCATCATTCCTAACCCTCCTCCTATTCATAAACGCCTCCCGCGCGGCCGGCCCACCGCAAGAAGCTCCTCTCGTGCTCAGCTGCGGCTCCACAGCCAGCACAAAAGATGCCGACGGCCGCACGTGGGAGCCCGACGAGAAATACCTCGTGGGCGGCCCCACCTCCGGCAGCTCGTCTCCCGCCAAAGCCGACGTTCAAGACCCTTCCCTACCATCCAACATCCCTTACATGACGGCCCGAATCTTCCAATCCGAGGCCACGTACCAATTCCCCCTCCGAAACTCCACCGCCCGTACCCTCCTCCGCCTCCACTTCTACCCGTCCTCTTATCCGAACCTCAACATCTCCAACTCCTACTTCTCGGTTATTGCCGGTGGCTTCACCCTCCTCACCAATTTCAGCGCCTCGTTAGCCGCCGAGGCCCTTTCCCAAGCCTACTTCATCAAGGAATACTATTTGCCTCCGCCCCCGGAAAATGCCCCACCTGTGCTCAACGTCACGTTACGCCCGTCCAACCCGCAACCCGCCCCGTCATTCGCCTTCCTCAATGGAGTCGAGGTGATTTCCACGCCGCCTCTATTCGACGAGGACCCGACGCTGGCCGGCTCGGCCAGCGGCGGAGATTCCGACACGGCCGTCACGGTCTCGGTCGGGAGCCGGAGCATGGAGGCCGTGTACAGACTGAACGTCGGGGGACAGTTTATTGCCCCGATGAATGATTCGGGAGGGCTCATGCGTAGCTGGTATGATGATAGCGTGTATATATATGGCGCAGGCCGCGGGGTTGCCGTGCAGGCCAACACAACGGTCGGGTACAAGGGGCTCCCGTCCTACGTGGCGCCGCTCGACGTATACGGTACGTACAGGTCGATGGGCGCGTTCGTCGACGTCAACCGCAACTCCAACCTGACGTGGGTCTTCCAGGTGGACCCCGGTTTCATGTACTTGCTCCGCTTCCACTGGTGCGACTCGGAGATGACCAAGCCCAACCAGAGGGTTTTCGACGTGTTCATCAACAACAGGACGGCGGCGAGCGAGGTCGACTTGTACGCGTTGACCGGGTCCACAGCGACCCCGACGAAAAAAGATTACGTCGTCCAGGTCAGCAACAAGACCGAGAGCGATAGCCAGTTGTGGTTGGCACTACACCCGACGGACAAGACCAAGGCGGAGTTCGCCGACGTGCTCCTCAACGGGCTCGAGGTGTTGAAGCTCAGCGACTCGAAATCGAGCCTCGCGGGTCCTAACCCGACCATCTCGGACATGATGAGGAAGTACCAAGAAGCTCAGCTGGCACCCAAGGCGTTTGGAAGCCCGGAAGGCGGAAGCGGAATCTCGACGATACTCGTGACGAGCGCGGCCGGGGGAGCCGCCGCCGTCGGGGTTGCTGCCGCCATATTCCTCTTCACGTACACGAGGCAGCGGAGGAACGCGAAGGGAGACGCGTACTCCACCTGGCTCCCGATCTCGTGGAACTCCGGATCGACGAGCCAGGGCGGCGGCAGCGGGAGCGGCGTCGGCGGGGCATCGATCTCGACAGACGCCGCCAGCAACTGTCGATACTTTAGCTTGGCGGAGATCCGGAACGCGACCAAGAATTTCGACGAGTCGAACGTGATTGGGGTGGGTGGGTTCGGGAAGGTCTACAAGGGGGTGTTGGATGGGGACATGAAAGTGGCGATCAAGAGGTCGAACCCGTCGTCCGAGCAAGGAGTTAACGAGTTTCAGACGGAGGTTGAGATGCTCTCCCGACTCAGGCATAGGCACCTCGTGTCCTTGATCGGGTTCTGTGAAGACAACGGGGAGATGATCCTCGTGTACGACTACATGGGGAACGGGACCCTCAGGGAGCATATCTACAAGGGGAACAAAATCACGCTGACGTGGAAGCAGAGGCTCGAGATCTGCATCGGGGCAGCACGCGGGCTCCACTACCTCCACACGGGAGCTAAGTACACCATCATTCACAGGGACGTCAAGACCACCAACATCCTAGTAGACGACAAGTGGGTTGCCAAAGTCTCCGACTTTGGGCTTTCCAAGACAGGGCCCAACATGAACCAGGGAGGCCACGTCAGCACAGTCGTCAAGGGCAGCTTCGGGTACCTCGACCCTGAATACTTCCGCCGGCAGCAGCTGACCGAGAAATCGGACGTCTACTCGTTCGGAGTCGTGCTTTTCGAGGTCCTCTGCGCGCGGCCCGCGCTCAACCCGAGCCTGCCCAAGGAGCAGGTGAGCCTGGCCGACTGGGCCCTCAGGTGCGCCAGGAACAACACTATTCACGACATTATTGATCCCCAGCTCAAAGGCAAAATAAGTCCCGAGTGCCTGAAGAAGTTCACCGACACGGCCGAGAAGTGCCTGGCCGACCATGGGGTTGACCGGCCCACAATGGGGGATGTCCTCTGGAACCTCGAGTTTGCGCTTCAGCTACATGAGAACCCGGAAGATAAAAGGGATGGCTTGAGTAAAACGGGCAGTGTGGATCTTGAGAGCATTGGTGAAGAAAAGATTGACCATAATAGCCTCATTGCCATGCACCGAAGCATGTTGAGCCTCACGGATGATGATCACGATACGCGGGCAAAGGACGATGATAATGCCGGTGATATATTCTCTCAGATTGTCAATCCCACAGGCCGGTGAATGAATAAATATGAATAACAATTTCTACCGATCCAAGCGCGTAAAAACATCGTCGATGATATGTGTCGTTTTTTACATTGGAGGTCGAAGCGTTAATCGATCTCATAAAAGCTACTGTTGTTGTTAAGAATATCTCTTGTGCTTATGTACTGTAAGGAGGATGTTTTTCAGATTTCCTTCAAACATATTAATATACCTTGAATTTTAGCATAAAACTGTGTAGCTACTTCCCCTGTCAGTAACATCATCATAAATAATGTAGCAGAGGATTGAATAGTAGGAGGACTTCACAAGTTTCTGGGATAACCAGGATTGATAAAAGCATGATTGGGATATGGATATTGATTTCTTATGCTCTCTGCCTCTCTCTGTTTGTATTTCCTATGGTGATATGTTGAATTGAAAAGAAAGGACTAGAAACAAAAATAGAATAAAAGAATTAACATAAGGAAATTGTAGTTTGAATTTGTTGTTTTTGTTATATCCATATGTATATTATATTATATTAAAATAAGAGCAGTGGTTTTTGATTTATAAACATTTCCGTAATTAAATGATTTATACGCATTTTCCCATTTCCACAAATTAAAAATAGCTACAAATCATTTTTTCTAAAAATAGCTATCTCATATTGCGATTTAGGAAATGGCTAAAAGGTTATACTAACACATAACATAAAGTTCACCAGTTTTTTGTTTTGTTTTATTTAGGGTGCTGATATAAAAGCACCAAAATTGATTAAATTGTCAAATTATTCGACTCAATTTGAAAGTGGTCAATGACAGGATTGTATTTTGGACTTTGACTAAATTATAGGACTAATTTTAAATTTTGTCCTTAAAGTTTACCGACGAGATTAAATATTGCAAGTGGTATCCCTATGGATGAATAAATTCATGATAAAAATTGGATGTAAAAAAATTTAAATTATTTATTTTACTGAATAAGATTTTAAATTATTTATTTTGCAATGGACATCAAAACTTTAAACCGTTCATTTTACTACATAAAATTTTCTTCAATACCATATTATTATGTATTCATTTATCTTACTCTTTTTTGTTAGTTCTTTTAGTAGATTTTGTATTTCAACTTGTAACAAATTTTTTGAGTAGCTTTTGTATTTCAACTTGTAACAAAGACGTGTAGTATCTTTTTAGTATATAAGGTAATTAATTTGGTACCCAAACACATAGACAAATTATCCGAACTCTACTATTTATTTGGTGTTGATGTCTTCCTTTCTCGTTATTTATTTTTATTTATTTATTTTTGTTCACTTATTTTTGTTTTGTTTGTAGTAGCATTTCATATTATTCTTTGAAAGCATATTTGTCCGCTACATTTGCCATGATACCCAACAGTTTTATCTTCTAAATTTTTTAAATCGGATTATTATAATAAAATTTTCAATATTACTGCCACTTTTTATATAATAACATGATCAATTTATCATTTCAGATATTTTAAATATCGTTCGGTTACGGTATTTCATTTTTCTTAAATAAAATATCCAATTGCACCCTCGCGTTAGATGCGTGATTCTTAAATAAATACTTGGAAGATTTGACCTACCTCATTACTTTATTGGCGAATGCAATGCAAGTCCTCATGTCTCACCGTTTACCTTACTTGATTTTTATATTTGAACAGTAGAAAAATAGAATAAATTTATGAGTTGTACTATTTCCTATCATTATCTATCTTACCGTCTAGCAAATTGATCCAATTATATAATTCAATCTAATGAATATGGACGTAATGTAAAAAAAATACTATAACAGCAATTTATGTTTCCAAAATTTTGTAATTCTTATTAATAAATTCATTAACATATTAACTGATTCACTTACCTTTTAAGTTATCACATGTCATAAACATTCAATTTTTATATTTCCGTATAATCTATAAGAAGAATGTTCTTTTAATATAATTGATATGTAAGAGTAAACTATTAATTTCAAAGTTGATATAATGTGTATAATTATAAAATCATGTCATATCCCCTTATATATTATATCAAACTATACTAGTGCGTGCCCCGTGCAATGCACGAGAAAATAATATTATAATTGTATTATAAATTAAATATATAAATAACATTAATCATGATTTATGTATTATTTTTATATTATTAAACCGGGTTGGACACAGTCCGACCGGATGGACGGAGAACCGATTTATAACCAGTCTAGTTCGCTTGAATAAGATATTTGCTCTTGAATCCGTCAATACCAGTCGGTTGGATTTGTAGGATCGATACGATTTTTTAAATAAATTTTGTTATATTTAAAATTATTTTAAATAAAATTACATATTTAAATAAAATAGAGATTTATAAATTATTTATTAATTAGTTTAAACATTTGAATTTATAATTTTTTTAAATAACTAAGTAACACATTTTATTTAAATTTATTACAAAAAAGTACTATATATATATTAAAATGTTTATAAATTAAAATCTTAACAAACCACAAATGATTTAATAAAATAGCTTGATCGTTTCGATGACGGTCCAGTTTTGAGAACCTTATATTTAATATACATTAATAAATATTATAGTAAAACATTATTTAATTCACATAAATATTAATAAAATGATATATAAATATTCATAAATCATTAAACATATTGTCATAAAAGTATTGTTAATACGATTATTTGAAATTTGGACTACATCACATTCACGTAATAAAATTTTTTCAATATAAAATTTATATTTAGGTTCAATAATCGATTTGGTGTGATCGAACTGATTCACAACTTAGTCACCTGGGACCAACCAAGTTGTGTCAAATTTTTTGACTATTTTAAATATCACCTAAAAGTAATTCAATCAACTTGGGCAGTACCCTAATTCAATCACCTGATTGATCCGAAGAAATTTTCTTATTTTCTTTAAATATATTTAATTTTATGAAATAAAAATATTTTATGATCATATAATAAATGTCTACACCAAATGATAATATATTGAGATTATAAATTATATATCTTAAGATGAATTAATTATTTTTACTTTATGCATATTAATAAAAAATAAACATAGTAATTTTTAAAAAATTAAGATTAATTGATTGATTATGCAATTTAAAGAATATTTTAGAGTTCAATTTTTTTTTAAAGGCACATATATAAAGATCGAGATTCTAAAACTTTTGTTATATTTTGAATTGAGATTTTATAAATATAGACCGAGATTTTAATTTTGTTCGTTGTTTCTAAGAAAAAAAATAAAAATAAAAACATACACACTTAATAAATATTAGCTGGATTTTTTAAATAATAAAATGAACTATAGCCCGAAATTTAAGGTAGCATTTAATGCTGTATGATTTTTAAAGAAAAAATAAGAAAAATAATAAAACTTACTATTTATAGGCTGCATTAAATTCTGACATATTTTAAAAAATAAAAATAAAAACATACACACTTAATAAATCTTAGCCGAATTTTTTAAATAATAAAATGAACAATAGCCCGAAATTTAAGGTAGCACTTAATGTTGTATGATTTTTAAAGAAAAAATAAGAAAAATAATAAAACTTACTATTTATAGGCTGCATTAAATTCTGACATATTTTTTTGCTACTATTTTTGGTAAATGTTAATTCTTATTATATATTTATAGATATTATCAATTATGTTTGAGTAGTATAATCCATAAATCCAATCTACAAAGGTTTTGACAATAGTACAATAAAGTTTATCACTATAATTGGAAGTTTTGCAGATCGGGAAATCAATTTTGTTGGTATATTAGGAGCATCTCCAACCGTGAACATGAATTGTAGTGTGTGTGACAATCAAATAGATGGTCTTCCATCCGCGTGGAACAAATAGAAGTTCAATCCCATAAAAAGTCTCCAATGGTTTATTCTATCTTTATGTTATCTATTTATTTTGTATTATAAATAAGGGGAAGAAAATGATTCATACGTCTAGAAGGACTTCTACATGTATAGGACTTCTAGAATTATTGTTTCTCTTTCATGCCACATCATCACAAATAGAAGTGGAAAAATCGTTGTTGGAGAAGTTCTTTTATCATATTGCTTCTACAATCCCAAAATTCACATACGGTTGGAGATGCTATGCGAAAGGTAATTGTCCACGCCCCAATCATCGCCACGTGATACACACACACTCTCTCTCTCTCTCTCTCACACACACACACACTCCTGCCACACACAGAAAAATTTCTCTCCACCTTCCCGACACTTTCTCGCAGTCACCGGTGGTGTCGGCGGCCACATCATCCCTGCCGACTACGACGACATAATCTTGACGTACAGTCTTGCCGTCGACCACCAGTTCTTGCTCTGTTCAAATTCGTTAAAGATCGAAAGTCGGAAAGTGCTACACCTCCTGAGATGTAGTTGTCATATCTTGAAACGAGATGTCTAAATCCGTCAACACATTATGGTGCATATTCATCTTGCAGGAAGAGTAACTCTCGTCTCAACTTATTCTCTTCAATCATACAAATTTCATGAAGTTCTTAAGAAATCATGAGATTTACCGTTGTACCGACACAATATTTGCAACATACATGCAATGAAAACAAAAATATATATGCTTCAATCTTTTAACTTGTTCACTAAAAATCTTATGTTCAATGACGTTTGAATTCGTCACTTGTCCAGATTGTTCTGTTGAACTATTTAAAAATTGCCATTAAATGTTCGCACATCACGTAATGATTATTCATTTCGGCATCTAAAATTAAGTTGTAGTAATGGCACGCTATCAATCCACACCAATTTTATTTCTCTGACACAAAATATGTTATCAGTCCACACAAGTAGGGCCGACGATCAGATTATTTATGAGTTGTAAATCAGTTTAAGAATCATCATAAGGTATGGGAACCACGACAAGATGTTGTTTCCGTGGGGCAGTCACTCCTGCTTCTTCACTCATGTCCATATCTTTAGGATCCATTCCTTTAGGCATCCTCCAATCAAAGTGGTACAAAAGAATAGCCAGCGGCAGCTCCACATTTGCCAAACCAAAATTGATACCGGGGCAATTCCTTCTCCCCGACCCAAACGGGAGGTATTTGAAGTCATTACCCGAGAAATCTATGGAGCTGTTATCGAACCTTTCTGGCCGGAAGATTTCGGGCTCTTCCCAATACTTGGGATCTCTTCCCATAGACCAGAAGCTGATGAGGATTTTTGTCTTGGGAGAAATCGAGTAGCCACTGATCTCGCATTCCTCTCTGCACGCTCTAAAGAGGAACGGTGCCGGAGGGTGCAGTCTGAATGCTTCCTTGATCACTAGTTTTAGGTACTTGAGCCCCTGCACATCACTCTCTTCTATGCTCTTCTTCCCTTTCAAAGCCTTGCGTATTTCTGCCTGTGCTTTCGCCATCACGTCTGGATTTCTCATAAGCTCCACCATCGTCCAATCAAGGATACCCGACGATGTTTCACTTCCAGCAGCAAACATGTCCTGAAAANNNTTTGGTAAAAAAAAAAAAAAAAAAATGCGCTACGTATACGTGCACTTACAAAGACGACGCCTTTGATATTATCGTCGGTAATTGGAAACTGCAAGTCCCCATCCTTTTGCATCCTAAGTAAAACATCGACAATATCCTCTCCACCAAACTCCCCACTCCTCCCTTTCCTCCTATGCTCCTCCAACATCCCATCAAGAATCCGGTCAACCTTACGCCTCATCCTCACAAGCTTAACCCTGTTGAAGCTCAACACATGTAGCAACTTGAACGAAGGGAACAGATCCGCCAGCTCGAACCCTGCAGCCATGGTCACCGCTTCCTTCATCATCTTCACCATCCCCGCGCGATCCTTCACCCCGACTCCCCCAAACACCGCCCTGCACACCGTCATGCTCACAAAGTCAAAGATCTTCTTCGTCAAGTCAACGTCAGCAAAAATTCCTTCTTTTTCCGGGAGAAGGGACTTCACGAGACGGTATCCCTCATCCAGGCGGACTCGTTCGAAGGACCTGACGCTCTTGACGCTCAAAAGCTCGATTATGCTGATTTTGCGCATCTGGCGCCAATAGTCTCCGTAAGGGCAGAAGAAGATGTCGTGGGCGAAGAAGATGTCGCTGCCCACGGTGGATGGCCGCTCGCATATGGCCAGGTCGCGGTCCCGAAGGGCCTCCCTTGTGACGTCAGGGGATGAGATCACCACAGTCGGGACCTCACCCGTGAGCACGTGCAGGATGGGGCCGTACTTGAGGGATAGGCGGTGGAAGGCGCGGTGGGGAAGCCCATGGCCGATTAGGTGGTGGAGGTGGCCGATCACGGGCAGGCCCGGCGGGCCTGGAGGAAGATTTTTTTTTTGGGCGAGGGGTTTTTTTGGTTCGGTAAGTGGGAGTATTATTTTTATTAGCAAGAGGATGAAGGATGAGATGAGGAGGAGGTTTTGAATATTGATGGGGACCAACTGGGCTGCAATTTTCATAGCTCTAGCTAGCTAGCTTACACAAAGATTAATTGCTACTTCCGCAATTATATTTGTGCTTGCTTTTGATGTTTTGCGATGTATGTATACGTAGCAAGCATTTCAGAACACATATATAATAGAGCAACTACACTGTAACCTAAAAAAAAAAAAAAAATTAATAATGTCCATGCTGATCAGGCGCAATCTAGTCAGATCTCACAACTAATAACTGCTCCTGTTTTGACGAGTGCTTGAAATATTAATAATAATAAACATTTAACGTGGCAGAGTTGACAATCATTTTTTTATTTCCTAGCTTTTTATATTTTGCAATCCATCTAGCAAGTAAATTCATACATACAACATACATACGTACATAGATATATATGTACTGTACGAGGTTGTGATATATAAGGGTGACTGGATGGGTTAAGTTATGAATTGTGTATTAGGATTAAAATGTCATATTAGTAGATAAATTGTATGCTAATTTTCAATTCTATTTGGTGTTAAGTTATCAATTGACCATTGATATGGAATACCCTAGCACCTCCGGGTCGGGTTGGTGGAACCGCTTATATCCCTGGTCGAGGTGCGGAAATAACGAGGTTTGGAGGCTACTGAAGGTGTGATCATATTGATGGGAGCTTACTACTGCCCAATTGTATATGTGCTTAATTGCTTTTGACATTTTGCAATCAAGATAGCAAATAATGCATAAATATATATATATAGTATTGCAACTACACTGAAGAGTTCTAATCAGACCGTACTACAATACAGGGGCGAAACTAGAATCCGAATAAAGGGATGGCCGATTTTTACCTCCAAACTATGCTCGAAATTAATTAAAAAGGATAGTCCAGATTTATACCTCCTCTCGAATAGACGAGAAACTGAAAGAATCGAGAAAAATGAAGCCTCGAACGATCGAACTCGTCCTCGACAATTCGCTTATTTTTAATATTTATACATCAACTTCAGGTTCCTCTATACAAATGCTCGGAGCTCCAAAACACTCAATAAATGGCTCGAATGGCATCGTGCCAATAAGGTCTACACGTCCCAACTCGTTTTTCAGCAAACCGAAATCTCACGCGACCTTGCGGGGCGGACGTAAACGGCTTTTTATTTATTTTTCTAATTTGTGCACTCCAACTCGAGCTTCTGAAAATAAATGCTCGGGGACCTCGAATTGCAAAATAAACACCACGAACGGCTTCTACTCTTCTCGTACTTTCTAGAAAGCACTCTCATTAAATTTCGGTGCGCCTAACGAGGGCCGACGGGTTCTCGAAGTCAGGACATGAAAATGATGCTTAAATGACCTTGCTGCCATTTTTCTCGCCGGAAAAAGCCCGTCGGAGTGAACTGTCGGGTTCATATACTCTCGAGAGGAAGCTGTGAACATTGGCCGACGGTTGTCACTGCTGCTATAAGTGAACTCACGGCAAAAGGCTGTCGCTACCACCATTCCCGTCCTCCGTTTGCTGCTCGCAAATTCTCTGGCAGTTTCCGAACAAAACTGCAGTGTCACGCTTTGAAAAATTGAACAGAGCCAGTGGAAGGGCGCCGCCTCCGGCCGGCGACCTCGGCCCCTATACCTACTACAATATATAAAATGATATTTTCAAGTAAATTAATACGGGTGCTTCGGCCTCCTAAGGGGTATATAAAAGATATTTTCATACCCTACTACAATATATAAAATGATATTTTCAAGTAAACTAATACGGGTGCTTCGGCCTCCTAAGGGGGTTTTGCAACGATTGGAGTAGTAGATTAAAGAGGAGATCAGTTTGTCCTAGCTTTTTAGACTTTGCAATCTATCTAGAAGCATTTCATAATCTATACTTATATTAAAGGGGTACTATTTACTAAATATAGTATGTAGAATAGTCAACCCTAATTAATAATTTGCTATTTTTATCAATCATTTAATTAATGCATCTAATATTTTTGGTATGCAAATCAAATTAGCATTTAATTAGTTCCTAAAATATTGGGTATGCAATATTAATTTAGGAATATCTATGTAGTTCCTAAAATGTAGGTATGCAATACGTAAATGAAGATTTTTTATTTTTTTTAAATATAAAATATTGCAACACTTACAACTATTCCAGTTATTTTTTTTATTTTATTTTACATATAAAATTTAATCAATATTTAATGCATCCTACAAAATTGGATTTAATTTAATTCTCCATACAATTGGTTGTAACTTTTTCAGTTGTACTTTTTTTATTTATTTATTTTACACTTTTAAATTAATGAAGCTGTCTGAAAATACCAAATCAAATGATTTATGAAAGTTTTTTTTTTTTTATAATTTTAAATCTATATACCCAGCTTAAAAAACTCATCGCATGGACGAGTTTAAGAAAATTTCATAACCCAGCTTATAAAATTCCATCTCGACGATTAAAAAAAATCACATCCCTCATCTATCGTATAAATAAAAGTCTAATTACTACTATAAATCCATTATCTATATAGATTTTTTTAAAATGTAAATTTCACCTGTCTCATTACTAATATTTTAGATACTTTTAAATATTATTTGTATAATTTTTTTTTTTACACATTTGCTCTCTCTCTCTCTCTCTCTATATATATATACATATATGAAGGTTAAATGAAGAATTTTTAAACATATTTTCCTTACGGGTAGTTTAGAAAAATTTAGGTAGCTTCAAACATTATTTGTGAATAATATAGAATATTTTAGATGCTTTTATAGATGTTATAAAATATTTTAAGTATTTTTAAATATTTTAAGTATTTTTAATATTTATATATCACACTTAAAAAAAATATTTTGCCAAAAAAAAACATTAAATACACATTGTAAATGTTAATAGAAACAGTCTTCAGTATTTATCTTTGATTTTGTCAAAACAAATCTTATAAAATCGGTGAAGTCAAAATTTGTACGTAAAGTCTATCTATACTAAAAAAAGGTAGATTCAAAATTCTTAATCTAATTTCTTTTTTTTCTTATCTAATTCATTCTTATTATCTAATTGTATAGAAATCTGTTCTGATTTTGTGTAATCCTCTAATTGTATTTGTATCATATCCGATAAAATCGGTTTAACAAAAAAAATCCCATAACATCCGATAAGTGAAAAAAGTACGTAAAATCTTTATTAAAATAAAAAGGCTTTATTTATTATCTAATTTATTATCTAATTGTATGGAAATCTGTTCTGATTTTATATTACGTACTACAAATTGTGCACCCGTGTTCAGGAGCTACTTAACCGGCAGGCTATGTGGAAATAACTCATTTAGTGCTTCTGTCCCGTGCATACGGTATGTATTTGTATTACACATACTAGAAAATTGTGCACCCCGTGCATCGCACGCACTCCGTACTAATAAATGACCTTAAAATTGTGCACCCCGTGCATCACTCGTGTTCACATTTTGGCCTATTACAGGTCACGTACTATATATATCCTGTACATTTTTCTTTATTCATTTATATAATTATAAAACTTGATAAATAGCCTTAATTTTGTGCACCCCGTGCATCGCACGGGATCTGTACTAGTGTAAGAAACGGGGAAAGATAAAGCCCAAGTGAGGTTCCATACCAAAATCAATTAGTTGAAGGAGGAGTAGCCCATTAGACTTATAAATTAGGCCTATTTTCCCTATATAAACGATGTGAGACAACTCACAAGTGAATATTCTAATACGCCCCTCACTTGTGAGTCCTTAATAAGAAAGCCCAAGCCCATATACTGAGCTGGGTGTCCAAGCCCTACTAGAAACAGGCTCCAATAAACGGGTACGTGGGGAAAAGCTGGTACGTCATCGCACGGTAGAACCGGCTCTGATACCATGTAAGAAACGGGGGCAAAACCGATGCTATCCCACGCAGATGTAGCGCACCATGACAAGGAAAGCCCAAATGAAACCCAAGTGCACCATAAGCAGGGAAAGCCCAGATGGAACCTAAGTGAGGTTCCATCCCAAAACCAATTGGTGGAAGGAGGAGTAGCCCATTAATTAGTCTTATAAATTAGGCCTATTTTCTTATATAAACGATGTGGAACAACTCACAAGTGAATATTCTAATACATACATATTTATTTATATACGTAGGTTGTGATGTATTACGGTTATTAATTGTGTATTGGAATTGAAGTATTATATAAGTATACTAGTACGTCACCCGCGCGTTGCGCGGCCTGATGTTAAAACACGATGTGAATGAATTATAATTTAAATAAATGAAGAATATTCAGAAAATATGTAGAGAGATAATAAAAAGTAGGATGAAAATTTTATTCATTATTTTTGTAAAATATTTTTCTAAATATAACATTATTAGTGGATGAATTGTATTCATTATTATCATTATCATCATAAAATAAAAAATAATCAGACAATAGGGATCCGTGACTATAGAAACAATAACATATAACTGGGTGGGACTATAAAATATAATATGTTTTGTAATAAATATTTTTAAATTAAATAAATTCAACTTAAAAAACATTTGTGATATTCAATGTATTTGTCACATTGATAACACTCCTTGAAACTGTTGCCTAAAATGTTTTGATAAAAACATAATTTTTTTTCATTTGTGAATAACTAAGATATTATTACTACTATATATATAAACTATATAGAATAGTTGAAATAAACATGTACAAAATATGAGTCAACTAAAATTAGAAATATAAATTAAATACTTAAGAAAAAATACAAAAATGACTCAATTTTATTTATTTGAAAAATAAGTCTGATAGTGAGTAGAATGATGTGCAAAATCGATCACCTTATTTCTAGGCTTGTAAATTGGTTGCCACTTACCTTGGTAATTGTCTGCGCATGTTTTACCCAAATCAGAAGCAAATAAATTATGCCTAATCCAAAAATGAAAGGGACATGTGGTTAATAATTGTTTAGGGAAGCAAATTAATTTGGAGAAGGGTTCTCCAGGATTTTTGGAATATTATTTGATGAAAGTTTTTGGTCTTAGGGATACGAGAGCTCCTTAGTCGAAAGTGGCAGGTGAGGATTTTTCGCATCTTCCAGGAGGCTAACTTTGGTGCGGACTACTTAGCAGCCTTGGCGGGTTCGACATCCCTTGGGTGCCATCAGCTTTCTACTCCACCTTCTGGTATAGTTCCGTGGATCGAGCACGACATGAGGGGTGTCTCTTATCTACGGAACGTCTGTCTCTCATAGTTTGGGAATAACCACCTTATTTGTACCAAAAAAAAAGAAAAGAAAATGGGCTCGAAAATTTGCCAAGTGTACGTAGCTGCCATAATGTTTTAAGTGGACAATTTCTAAATTCTCAAATTTGGGCCTTTCTTTGTTCTCAAGAATTGGGTTATTTTAGTTTTGATGTTAGCCATGGATAAAGGTTTTCAAATGGATGAAGGCCCATATAAGCATTTAAATGGATAAAGACTTTGTGCCATTTGATACATGACAAGTTTATCAATTTGGGCTCTCTTGAACCATATAAATCCATGTCACGTTTTCTCAAGCCCAAACCAAAGAAAGTCGCGACTTATTCACTTCAAGACACGTCGTCCGTGAACAAGTCTCGAAGGAGCATTTGTAGATAAAAGAAAATTATGTCCAATCAAATAGCGCCACATAGAAATTAATTTATTAAAATTCAAGTCATATTTTCTATTTATATTTTAGGAATTTCCATAAATTTAATTCCTAAATTTAAATAATTAATTAATTGATATTTTAATATTTTAGTTCTTGACCAATCAAATAATCCCAAATTTCAAATCTTAATTCTTGGTAATAAATCACATGTCTTCTAGAAGATCTTGGGAGATCTAAGTAGATCTAAAAGATCTTATGTGAATCATCATGGACCATCATGGACCAATCAAATCGCGTCCTATGTTTCTTAAATTTGGTAGGGTTCTCCCTTCTACACCTATAAATAGAGCTCTCCCTAAAGCCAAAAACACACCTCATAATTCATATTCAAGTTCAAGAGCTCTAGAGAATTTTCTCGACGAATCATAATTTCGTTTTTCTTTGCGTTCTTGGGATATAACGGCATTTGATCTGGGAAAAAGCTCTCAAGCCCTCGGATTAACGTTAATTCAAGTCAAATCAAGTCAAGGAGAAGATCAAGTCGAAGATTTCGCTCCAAGACTTAAAATCGTTCGTGAGAAGAATCAGAGGAGAAAATAGAGATTGTAACCCGCTATATTTATTTTGATTCAAGAAATTCATTTGAATAATATTTTTCGTATTTATAAATTCAATACACGAAATTTGTTGTTACAAAGTTGTAGTAATGGCACCAAATATGTTATCGGAAAATGCTCCATGCCCACGGTGGGTACATGTTAATATGCCCACCGACTTATGTGGCATGCACACATTGGTGATGTATTTTTTTAACATATTAACATCACCAATGTGTGCATGCCACATCAGCGGTGGGCATATTAACATGTGCCCACCGTGGACATGTGAGCATTTCTCATATGTTATCAGTCCACACCAACTTTATTTCTATGACTGGGATTAAACAGAAGCCCATGAACCACAACTACAGAAGGACCTCAAACTATGTTCCCATGTTTACATTTATTGTCATAGTTCTGAAACAACAGAACACAAGTAGAGCCGACGATCAGATTATGAGTTATGAATCGGTTTAAGAGTCATATAAATTATAAGGTATGGGAACCACGAAAAGATGTTGTTTTCGAGGGGCGGTTACTCCTGCCTCTTCACTCATGTCCATATCTTTAGCATCCATTCCTTTAGGCATCCTCCAATCGAAGTGGTACAAAAGGATAGCCAGCGGAAGCTCCACATTTGCCAATCCGAAATTGATACCAGGGCAATTCCTTCTCCCCGACCCAAACGGGACGTATTTGAAGTCGTTACCCGAGAAATCTATGGGGCTGATATCGAACCTTTCTGGGCGGAAGATTTCGGGTTCTGCCCAATACTTGGGATCCCTTCCCATAGACCAGAAGCTGATGAGGACTTTTGTCTTGGGAGAAATCGAGTAGCCACTGATCTCGCATTCCTCTCTGCACGATCTGAAGAGGAATGGGGCCTGAGGGTGCAGCCTCAATGTTTCTTTGATCACCAGTTTTAGGTACTTGAGCTCCTGCACATCACTCTCTTCAATGAACTTCTTCCCTTTGAGGGCTCCTCGAATTTCTGCCTGTGCTTTCGCCATCACGTCCGGATTTCTCATAAGCTCCACCATCGCCCAATCAAGGGTTCCCGCCGATGTTTCACTTCCAGCAGCAAACATGTCCTGAAAAAA